ATATTTACATTTCATTGCAGGCTTATTGTGCAAATAAACCTTTTTCATAGCATTTTTATTTGTTAATTAACATTTTTAACAAATGCTTTCAAAAAGTGGTGGCTACATGTCCCCAGTGTAAATGACCCTACCTCCCTGCTCCCTCCCTGCAGGTTGAGCTACTCTATGCTTACCGCTTCACCTCCACTCTCCTCCTGCTCTGTCTCCCCCTCTGCCCTGTCACTTTGTCACTCGCTAACACACGCCTCCTCCTCTGCCTGCCAGTGGCCACGGCTCTCCTTTACTCCAAGTGCCTGTGCCTGCACTACCTCGGTTACTGTAGCTGATGTTGAAGATACTGCAGCCCTGGTAGCAGTCTGGTAGCAGACATATGTGTTATTTACGCGCATTTAGCGGCAGCCGTCTGAAGATTTTTTTGGGGTGGGCCTTAATGCAAGAAACAGAGAGCAGAGGGAGTGGGGGGCTAGTAAGAGATGTGATTGGGCCGGCCCGGTGTCGGTATAGAAAATGATCCAATGGGCTGCTGTCCATGCTTTATGGGCTGATTGTTGGCCCATTTAAAAAACAACAAAAAAACAACAACAACAACAACAAAAAAAAACGTTATATAACTGTAAACGGAAGTTTACAGTTGCTTGGATTGTCTGGAGACTGCATCAAAGTGTCCCAGAGTTATCCTAAAATAAGCCTTGAACCGACCATCATTAAGACTACTACCAGCGTTGTCTCCTCTTTCTGAGGGTCTCCATGTGCCCATACGGATCTCCGTTTCCCTGTATCCTGCGTGTTTGTACATCAATCACCCTCAAACAATGCCAGAGCAAGTGCCCTCTGTTTGTCTATGTTTAAGCAGATGTTTTTTGCAACAAAAAACACAGACCTGTGAGTTGTGATCAAGTTTCTGCTAATATGACAGTTATTACTTTGCAGCAAACCAATGATTACAGATCGCTGGCGCTATAATCTTTGATTAGACTGACAGCCCAGCTGATTTGTTGTTTGCAACATAAAAATACCGCCGCACAATTCTTTTCCAAAATGCACAAAAGGCATTGCTGTGCGTCTCGCATTTTCAAACCTGCAAAACGCTTTCTGTCTGACCAGGGCCTAAAGCAACAGCGGACTTAAAATAGTAAAGAATTTATGACTGAACCGCAGACCAACATCTGGAGACACACACACACACACACACACACACACACACACACACACACACAGTCTCTGTATATCCGCTCCGAAACACACACTTGGCAGATGAAAATGAACACACAAACATGTGGTGAAGCCCTCCTCCAGTGGAATCCCACACAACATGGCACAAGCCTGCACAGGATCCACAGATCAGATTTCCACTGTTAAAGATCCAGGCGGTAACTCTGTCCACCAGCCTCCATATTCTGAGATTACTTAAAATTACCTCTGCAGTTGTCTTTGTTCTTCCTCACACTCTGGTTTCTTTGCTGCTTCTCCTATTTCTTCTCCTTTCTCTGAAACTCCCTCTTACATGCACTTTCCTTGATTTTATCCTCAATGTTTTTGTTTTTTTAATAATGTGGAAAGTTATTCTGTTTTAATGAAATCTCCTTTGTTACATAATCACAAACTCAGTTTCAGTTCTCTCTTCTCTCGCTCCAGTTCCCTGTGTCTCTCTTGTTCTCTCTCTTTGTGTGCATGCGGATGGATTTCCAGTCACACCAGCAGACAGAAAACAACGTGATGATGAGTGAGTTTCTGTCTCTTGGTCCACAGTGGAAAAAAGGTCATTTGAGGATGTCATGCTACTGTAGCATGGCTCTTCTGGTTTTGGCACATGGTTCATCAGGCTTTAAATCACCCAGAGGCTACTGGGATACTTTCTGTCAGACTCCACATCTCACAACTGCCTCTCAGTACTGACAGGGCCTTGGGCTGTGCAGCACTGAGGTCAGTTATGTTTTCATGTGCTGTGTGCAATACTCACTGGTCAAAACATTTCTTTCTAAGGTGGCAACTAACGATTGTTTTCATTATTAATCTGTCAGTTATTTTCCTGATGAATCGATTAGTTTTTTCGTCTACAGAATGTCAGATGGTAAAAGAATAGTGAAAAATGTTGGTCGTGTTTCGCAAAGCCCAAGATGACGCCCTCAAATGTCTTTGTTTTTTCCACATCCAAAAATATTCAGTTTATTGACAGAGGAGTAAAGAAACCAGAAAATATTCAGTTAAGAAACTGAAATGTGAATTTCACTGAATTTTGACAAACTGATGAATCATTTCTAAAACTATTTGCCAATTAATAGCACAACTAAAAATTGTTTTTTAGTCATCGTGGCATTGTTAAAGGATAATTCTGCTTTAATGACGTGGATATGATTATTGCCTATAGTGGAATTCCTCTTTTATCCTTGTTTCTGCCTTTGGAGATTTTACTTAATGAGTACAGTGATTGATGCCTTTGAGACAAAAGATGGCCAAAACTTGGAGAATAACACCGAAATGTTATAAAGCTAGGGCTGAACGATTTGAGGGAAAATCCTAATTGCGATTTTTATGCCAGATATTGCGACTGCGATTCGATTTGCAATTTATTATTATTTTTTGAAGTTTTGCTAAAGTTCAATATTCACTGCCAGTCAATTTTTCACAGAAGCTGCGTCAAGCAGCACAGAGCAGATAAACCAGGCAGGTAGTCAAGACACAGAACGTCATGGAGAATCCGGTCAATTTTCAAAAAAAACCACCCTGTGTAGACTCCTGATCGTACATCAACAATAAACACAGTTAAAACAGAACCACAATTTAAATACGTAGCCTACTTAACCATAGAAAAAGCACAAGCCCTCTAGCTTCCTTTGTTGTAAAATGCACTCGCCCTGTGCCCGCTCTGATTGGTGAGTAGGACCGTAACAGGAGGCGTATGATGCTTGTGATTGGCATGCAGGTCTGTCACACAAGGACAACAATAGAATGAATCTGTAACTGCATGACCGTTTAAAACGGGTCAGATGCGCTGCATAATTAACCTACATTTTAATCACAGTCTTCACGATTAGTTAATTGTGTTCTTTGAAATTGCAATTTCAATTTGAAAACGATTAATCATTCAGTCCTATAAAGCAAAAAATCTTACCCTCCTAACCAGAATCTGTTGTCTCTGTATAAGTTGAAAATTCCATAATATTTTGCAGAACTCAGAGGAAATATATGGTTTTCAACTGTTATTTTTAAAATTTAAGCAGTAGCTCTTAAAAAGATGTCTGGTTTGCCAAACCTTCTTTTACGACTTATTTAAAGACCATTTTTCCAAATATTAACATGTTAATCATGACTGAAGTGGCTTGACTGTGGCATTAAAAACAAATTCAATGCTAAACACTTTTGTATATGAGATTTACCCATAGACTGTATAAAAGAAGTGGACGTAGTCACCGTGACATCACCCATTGGTTTGTGGACTGCCAGCAGCACCGGACGAGACGATATTTGGAGGAGACGGTTGCGCTAGCAAACTTGGTTATTTCTATAATTCACTTTAACTGTGATTTTAACCAGGATGCTATTTTTTGGCTGGTTAAAAACAGGCTTAAAACGTACTTACCGGAAATAATTAACAGCTGATTCCTGATAAGCTTGTTCCCCAGCACTGGTGAAATTTGTGCAGTGGATATAAGTCCCTTTAGCCTGATTTGGCATGGTAGTGACTTGTTAATCACAAGGTAGTCTCGCCCTAAAGCATACACTGCTTTATTGTCTATTTTCCTCTAAATAGAAACATAATTTACTAAATGAACATCAGGCTGTATTGAAGGCTTGAAACTAACAATTGAGACCATAAACTCATGAGGAAAGTGTTTACTGAGGTAATAAATCAAGTGAGAAGTAGGGTCATTTTGTCTTTCCATCAATCGTTAACGCTGGAGCCTGTCCCAGCTGACATCTTGTCACTATTTCTTGTCATTATTTCTTTTTGCAACCAGAGGAGTCGCCCCACGCTGACCGCAAAGCATGCAGGTTTAAGTTGCCTCCGCATTTCGCGCATGGGCGTGGCAAAATGGCTCGCTAGCGCCCCCTACGAAATTAGAAAAAATTTGCCCCTCGTCCACGTTCAACCTACATGCACGAAATTTTCTGGGGACATGTATCATATCAAGACGCACAAAAAAGCCTCAAGAACCCATACCCTAAAATGAAAGTCGGCCATTTTGAATTTTATGGCCATTGTTAGATGATTTACACACTCCGTACTTTAACGAACTCCGGATCGACTTCACCTTTCTGCTGTGCCTTCTAAAGATGAAAAGTTGTGCTATCTGAGTTTTCATCAATGTCCGTGGCGTCAAAGATCAACTCTTGGCCATGAAACAGGAAGTTGTTGTAACTTCAGTGTACATGCTCACATCTGAACAAAACGTTACGTGCTTGATAATTGTCCCACCCCAAACACATCTACACACCAATATTAGTTTATATTTATAGCGCCAAGTGCTATGTAGTGCCACAAAGGGGAAACAGGAAGTGACGTAAAACACCTTCATGCAGCGTCCGAAGCGCGTAGCAAATTCACAGCCGCACCGGCAGAGCTCCAGAATATGCAACACGGCCGCCTCGCACACCGACGCGCTACACGTGCGAGGGCCCGCCCAACGCTGCTTGCAGCTTTAATTTTTTTTTTTTTTTGCCTCTAATTCTTCCTAAAATAACAAGCCCCCTCTGTAGGTGGAAGACTGAACTGCAACTCAGTTCACTCTTGCTGCCTTTTTATAACGCCATGTTTCACCTGGGAATCTGAATGAGAATAAACACCTCAGTCACACTACACACTAACTTTTGCTTGTGATTAAATGCTGTCTGTTAAATTAACTTATGTCTCACCTCCCTCCCCCCCCCTCCTCTTCCTCTTTCCTCCTTTTGATCCTTCTGGCTCTCTCCTCTCTGCCTCCCCCCCCTGTCTCTTCTTCTGTTTTCTCTCTTCTTCTTCTGCCTCCTCCTTCCCGCCCTCTCTTGCCCCTTCCACACAGATGCTCCCAGCCGCCGAGCTTGACAGGAGTGATGGGATGTGTCAACTAGGTATTACACCTATCCCAACATTTTTACACTGCAAGCAGGGAGACTGGCTGGGTGGGAAACGGATATTTTGGGATAAAAATAAAAAAGGGAATTTGAAAAAGGGAATTTGCCATAGAAGGTGCTGATGAGATAAATGGCAGGTTGGCATCAGTTAACTGTTGATGAGGCAGTTAACATCTGTTCCTGACATACAGTGTTATGGATGAGTAAACCATGGAGTTTCACAAAAAAGATTTGATAGAGGCCAGTAGTTTCAGTAGATATCTGCACTTATTCCCTTTTATGCCTGAACAATTTGAATAATATATCTAATTGCAATATTTCTTTGTATAAAGTATTTTTGGGGGCTGGGTGGGCATCCTGTTGTTGGTTTTTTATAGTTAGTAGATGCCATCAGCAACAAAATTCCCCAGCTGGGGAGTTTGTGATTATGTAGTCAGTGTTTTTAAAGCTCAAAGCCATCAGTACACTACTATTTTTCCAGTCAGGGTTCATAGCTACTAAAGTATATGGTTACAGATTAAACTGTCACATTAACGATTTCCTAGCTTTAAAAAAGCCAAGTTCTTTTTAAATATCACAGCTCTTGCAGTTTGATAATGAATGAAATGACCTTTTTAAATTAACAGCTTTGCATCAGAGTCCAATGAAGGAAATGGGATTCTTAGTGGCTTTAAATCACTCTTCACCCATCTATATGACTATTTCAAAGGCTCAGGCCAACATTTTTAAAGCTATTACTTCAGTGATCCATTAGTATTTTGTGATGCTTCTCAAATGAACCTGTCAGTTAACCCTCATGATGTAGTAAAACACTGGTGTGTGACGCAGTTTGATTTACAGTTGGACATGGCTCATGAACTGGCTAACTATCTTAATGAGTTTCATCACAAAGATGTTGTTAAAAGACCAGAGCAGTGTAGTTTTGAAATATGAAATTGTACTATGAATATCCTTACAGTGCAGTGGTGTTGTTGGTGGAGATGTCACCTCAGAGATCACGTTTGCCTGTTGGCCCAAGCTCGATTCATCTACTGTGTGGCTCCTTGGTTGAGAGAATATTTATTCTTGATTTAATAACTGTCGACATGTTGTCTTTTTATTGGATTTGGAAGCTGAGTGATGGCTCTCAACACTGAGATACTCTCACTTTCTCATACTTTTCCCATTTATTAAAAGACAAATATTATTAAAATGATATGAGCAATTAGGATTGCAGAACATTGGTACATTAAGTGTGGGGAAAAAAAACTCAATCTATTTCCTATGCCATTAAAGCCCCATTGAGTTTAATTGTTAATGATAATAAATTGAATAAAAGGCACTGAACAGAAAATAGACTGTACCACCCCACCCCTGCTAGGACAAACCGACATTCCTCTCTCTGCCTCATGCACCTTTTCTCATCATCTGTCAACTCTTCTTTTTCCTCCCAACTCCTTGCATAATCTCGCCTCTGTTTGCCTTCTCACCTCTTCTTGTGTGTCTATCAGACCTGTTTGCAACATGGATTATTAAGTGACGTGTAGAAAGTCTTCTCCCAAAGGCAATTCATAATTTCTAATTTCTTAATCTGTTGAGTCTTAACGATTGGTGCTTATTTTTATTAAAAATCTGCTGATTATTTTTGATTATTCAAATAAGTTGCCAGAAAATAGTTTTAAAAATGCCCGTTATTATTTCTGAAAGGCCTTCAGATTGTTAGTTTTGCCTGATAGTGACAAACCCATATATATTCAGTTTACTATCACATAAGATACAATCAGCACATCGTCACAGGTGACAGTGAAGAACCGGTACGTTGTTCTTGCTTGTAAAAATGACATACACAATCAATTGATTATCAAAATGTTCAATTAGCTGTTTCAGCTCTAGATCTAATCACCAAGCCAAAATTGATGTCTTAAATGTGCTTTTATAATCTGTTTGGCAACCAAAAGACCTACAGCAGCAAAAACAAACCTGAATTTTTTTTTTTTATATGAAACAGAAGAAAAGGAAGCAAATCTGTGAATTTGTAAAGCTATAACCACAACATGTTTTCTCTCTTTTACTGGATTAATTCTGTGTCCAGAATAGCCGGGACAAAAAACCCATCAAGATTCTAATTAAGTATGGCCTGGCAGCCTCTCTGATGGGATCCTTCACAATGAAGTTAGGATATTAGAACCCTTAAAGTTATAAATCAAAATATTGATCTCCGTTTATCTGTCTTTTGTTTTTTCCAACAAGGTGAGGCAGCCCTGGACAATGTAATCGGACTGAAGGATTCATCTGCAGTGTTCACACCGGAGCGAGACAGAGAAAGGACGGCGTACAAAGAAGAGGAGGACGACGACGACATCGCAGACACAAGGATGGGCGTGGGAAAGAATACAACCTCCAAGACGATGGACAGCAGCAGTGACGGAGGAAAATATGAAGAGGAGATCAAACATAGCGCAGATTTCTACCCTATTCCGGTAAACGACTGTGTTTAATGGCCTAGTTATGAAATTTTGCCTCCCGATGCATCATGAAAATGCCTAAAGCAAGCTCACATAATGAACAAATGACAAAGACAGGGTTTGGTTAACATGCACACAACCTTATAATTACTGTCCTCTTCCTCCCCCTTACACCCCACTCATTGACTCTCTCGCTCATATTTGGCACCGCCTTTTGTATGGAATGTATTTGTTTATGCATGCTGCCACGTACACTCTCAAAGTGCTTACTTCATCTCCTGTCAGTACATGCTGCTGCTGCTGCAGCTCAGTCCATCCATTTCCTTTTGGCACCTGGCCAGAGCTTCATGTGTGTTTTTTTTTTTTTTGTTTGTTTTTTTTTTTTTTTTTTTTTGTTTTTAAAGGCAAAATGACAAGAAACTACTTGCTTAGACTGCTGCCTCAGAGACCTACGGAAGAGGATTAGGGCCACATGTGAACAATTTATTTAACTTTATACTCAGAGCTCAAGTATATTTTTCACATGTGGCCCTAATCCTCTTCCGTAGAAACCCGACCCCGCATAAGTGATGGAAAGTGGATGGATGGACTTTTATTTTTAGATTTTATTCTACTTTATACTCAGTCACAGTGTGTTCCTTTTTATAATGACCCTCCCTTTGTTGAAAGACATGACACGGATACTTTCAGGACATACACAGGAAACTACCACACACCCACATGTACTTTGTAAGTATGATCGCATAATATTGGAAACCCATCTTCCAGCTTATCAAAACTGGTCATTTTTTTATAAATAACTTTACATTTGTTTTTCACATGTTGTGTTGACTCACACTTAAAGTTTCACATTCCTTCATGTCTGTCTTTTCATGTGGCTTTTGTCAGTCAGCCAGTTCGGTGTGCGTCATCCTCAATTTGCTGTCTGGGCCACCATGCTTTGGTAAACTGTAATTAAGATTATGAAAGGGGGGAAAAAGGGTGAAAGTCTAAATTGTTTGTGTGTGTGTGTTAAGGTGGTGATAAACGGAGTGAGCAGTGGCAGTGGAGACCACGATACTGAGAACACAGAGCTGATGGCCATCTACACTAAAGATAATCAACGAGCAGAAAAGGTAACTCACGAGGAAAAATGGAGGAGTGAAACCAAAACATCATGTCATCCAGAGTGCTAGTTTCCTCCCACATAGGCCTCGGCTTAGCAGACTGACACATAGTCACATGGTTGAAAAAGCTCTCTCGTAATTGGTTAATCGTCAGTTTCAGTGACTTTTCTTTTCCTCCTCACCTTTGCCCTACATAAATAAAGTTCCGTAAAATTTCAGTCCTAGTAAATTTGGTGGCATTCATGGTTACCGTAATTACAACAAATTTATATTCATACTACAGCAAATCAGCTGGAGTATCACTTGACAGTGCAGCCAAATGAACTGAAGTTGTCTTATTAAGGAAGTCCATAAAAATCTAAGAATACGGAAACTCTTCACTGCTCCTCCTTGTTTCATTACTTAGATGCGTTTTTGATGTTTGCGTGTTTGTCACACGAGCACTGACTTGTGTGACAAACGCATTGTTTCCTGTAACAACTTCACAATAAAACTCGCCCTGTGTGTTGCCGGTTTAATGCTTTTTAATGTGGGGCGGCAGTAACTTAATACAGCTCTGATACAGCCGTGAGCAGAGTGAACAGTAAACGGTGAGGATAATATCATCATTTGCAATGTGCTACCCTGGCAACCTGTTTTTTTTTTTTTTTGTTGTTTTTATTATTTGTTTGTGGGTGTATCTTGGTGTGGTCTGTGTGTAGCCTCTTGTGTTTTTTGTATTTATTTGTTATAAAAGTTGTTATAAACATTGAGTTTGCAGGTAATTGCTGAACATACAGGGCAGCAATCCGAGTGACAATGTGTTTAAATTAAGTAAATAAAAAAAAAAACATGAAAGTTCAAAATTAAATGGCAAAATGGCTATTGCATATAACTGTATAAATAGGATTAAAAATATAATTATATATTTTAGTAATAAGTACAAAGCGAACAAACACAAAGTAAAGTATGACCTCCACTGAGTGACCACCATGAAGTAAAAATCCATCATTACTGCGCCGTTATGTGTTATGATTATATACTGTATTTTCAGAAAAGCCTCCATTTGTGCGGTTTTCCATTTATTTATATATAGATAGCTAGCCATATCCTTTTTATGAATTACTTTTTTTGTCACTATTTAGTATGATTGATGGTATGAATTGAGCTAATATACATTTGGTGTTGGAAAACCTTTAGTTTTTTTAGTAAGTATGTTTCACTAATTACCAGGTTCTTTGTTTTAACAGTAAAACACAAACCCATTTTCACGGCAACTAGTGCAGAAAAGTGCTGATGAGATGTGGACCAGAAATCTGACCAGTGTGTGACTCACCAACACTGTCTCAATGTTATTTTCCTCTTGTTGTCACTGACGATGCATTTTTCTTACTGAGAGAATAAAGTCATGTGTCTCTTTCACACAGTTTTTCTTTCTGTCACTTTCTTTTCTTTGTTTTATAATTCATAAAAATCTGCCTTCCTCATATCTGCTCAGACAAGTTCTCACATCGACATTTGATGTGGCGGTTATTTTCATGTACTTTTGCATAAATAAATTCTTCCAGAAAACTTATTTTTACCCTTTGTGGACAGGACAAAGAACATGTCAAAATGATGAATTCTAAAGAGATAATTTCTTTGTTTCTTTGTCACTGTGCGTGTAGAGCTCAATGTCTGAGACGTTGGACAGCACCGACAGTGTGGATGCGAGGAGGATGGATATGATCTATACCATTGAAGACACCCCACCCTGGTACCTGTGTGTGTTCTTAGGCTTACAGGTAAATCTCCTGACTGATTTTCACAAAGCTTAATGGATGACTTGCGGAGTATTATCAGTCATCAATATATTTTCTTTACCTGACTAGTGTATGTGTTTAAACTGGTAATGTCTCATCATATGAACTGAAAACGCTGTGTAATTAGGGTGTGTCATATCCTTTACTGTGGTTGTACTGTCATCTCAGGGCAGTATTTTTCATCCGACCATTCCCAGTTTTCATGCACGCTATACAAACTTTTCTCACAGTAGTCGTCATCTTGGTGGTTCAGTGGGTTAATGTCCTCACTGTGTGACCACAATGCATTTGTAATGCTACTAAATATAGTAATAGTCCACCTATATACTGAATTTGCGATAAGAGTAAAATAACTTTGTAGGAGGAGTGATTTTTAAATGTTTTTAAAAATGTGTTTTTGTAAAAGATTGTGGTGGAAAACCTGTTCAGGCCAAATAGTGTTTGAGAACAAACAGCAAACACAAAGATGATTACCAACACCAGGAGGGTTATGTTTTCTGTCGGAAAGATAATGATCCTAAAAAAAAGTTTCAAAATGGTAATCAGATATATTTAGTAGGTGTGTGACGATACACTTAGCTCATGAAATGAGATGATACACAATATTGGGATCACAAGATTTTACCTCTATTTTTAAGATATCTTCAATGTCGAATTATTATTATATGAAAATTTTGAGCCATGAACTCGTTTTTTTGGGAGGCTTTTTTCTGCATGAATTTATGGTGGAAATGTTTCTATTTATGTAAACGGAAATGCAAAATTCAGGTGGCGGGTGACGATTCAAAATCTAAAAATATTAACAGAATATAAAGCAGTGCAGCTCTCTGTGTTTTCAAATGTTTTTTCCTGTAGATTCTTTTCTCACGTAATATCATCCCTGCTGAGTCAGCACACCTGCAGGCATGATTTAGTCCTCACTTCTCTTTTGTGTCTTTTGTTTGGGGAAGTAACCTCTATGTGGTTTGCATGTGGCATCTTTTCACCTCCCCAATGATAAATTATTTCATTTTAATTCAGTTATAAACTCCTGGACTTTAATAGCTCCTATGATTCAGCAGGTTTTCTGCTCAGGTTCAAAACTTTCTGCATATTCAGAATCTCTCCCACAGACCTGTGTTCTGACATGTCAAGAAAAAAGTCATATTACGAGAATAAAGTCATCATTTAATGAAAATTCATAATATTTTTGAAGTCTACCTGCCCTATATAATAATGCTGTGCATTATGTTCTTGCTCTGCTTATATGGTATTTTCCCCTTCAGACGGTCTGATAGACACAGGACTGGATGAGACAACGAGGTGAAAATCTGAAAACAACTGAAAACACTTCTGATCAAGCAGAAATTTTACCACAAATGTCAACTTCAGCACCTCTGATAAAGTGCAGCTTACAGTCCCAAACAGAGGAACTCTGAGCCCCAGGTTTTAGATGTTTAGAGATTTATATTGCAAAACTTTTCCAGTATGTGGTGGTTACAACTCTATCACAAACTGTCTGCCTCTCACACCGCGAGAGGGGGTCCGCTTCATTACTATCACAACATACCGCGTATTCGCACCGGATAAACAATCAGTTATACATTTGTTTTTCACTGCATGAGAAAATTCATGTGTGGCTTGACAGCGTTTGAAAAGTGTCCCTTACATGAGACTCAACTGGCGAGAAATCTCGTTTCAAGTTTCAGTATCACAAAATCTCGTGGCACGGGATCTTGTCACACCCCTAATTTTTAGTAACATCCTAAAATGTTTTGTACTGTACTGTCTTTACAAACAGTGTCATGCCAAGTTAAATTATAGACTTGCCATGACACACATACTTTATCTATACGTACCGACTCTGTGGCCTCTTGACTTTGCAGCACTACTTGACATGTTTCAGTGGAACTATCGCGGTGCCATTCCTGCTGGCTGATGCAATGTGCGTTGGCTTCGATCAGTGGGCCACCAGTCAGCTCATAGGGACCATCTTCTTCTGTGTGGGCATCACCACTCTGCTACAGACCACACTGGGCTGCAGGTACACAAACACACACACTATACTGTCTCACATGGACACAGGGAAATGCTTTGATTACCTGCATACTTCAAGTCATACAGGAGATTCATGCCTACATACAAGCACTAAACTGCAGTTTTTCTATACGTAGCTATAGGTACATTGTATTATATCTTTAATTTCCTCACCTCCTTTTTTTATTCCCCCACCCCATCTTTTTCCCACTCTCTAGCTCTCATCTCCAAGTACCGCTTAAAGACGAGGGCCATTCCTCTTCATGTCACTCTGGAGTGTGTTTAAGAGCGTTCGCACACTTTAAGTAGAGCTTACAGGTAGGTAGAGCTTCAAAACAGTGTCTTGATTAAATGTGTATTGATATATTGCACAGATGATTATATATATATATATATATATATATATATATATTTCATATTCTCATTTTCAGTTCCGCATTTCAATCATGTGACTGTGGTGTCTCTTTGGCAAGAGTAGAAAGTAAATTTTCCAGAAGCAGTTATTATTTCATGTTATTCAATTTTATTTATATAGCGCCAAATCACAACAACAGTTATCTCACAGCACTTTTCAGAAAAGAGCAGGTCTAAACTGTACTCTATGATATGTTATTACAGCACAAAGAATGAAGAGATTCCAGAAACTAAAGAAACCAAAATGTGGCCTTGTCCCTGCTTTCAGCCATACAAGATTGGCATCCTCTTTACTCCTCCTGTCTTTTTTTTTCCCTGCCCTCGAGGTGCTCATTCTTTCTCAAGGGTCTCAATCTGGTACCTGGAAACCGTTGATCTCTTTAGTTCACAACGCTTTGATTTTTGATTGGTTGTTGTTCAGACATAACCTGAGCTGGTTTGTGTGCATTTCATAACCAGTGATTCACATGATTAAACTTCGAGGGTTATGTCACTACCGGCACTCACCAATGAAATAACAACTGACCTGAGTCATTACCCGTTGCCTTGGATATTATCTTGTCTTTTGGATCCATGTTTAAATTAACTTGTGACACTTCTTACGTCTTTGTAATGAAATCTTTGTTTCATTATTCTTCCCCGAGTGCAGCTGCCGCTTCGGCCAAATCAAGTCATTCAGATAAACCCAGACAGACACAGATACACTGTTCTTTTTGACACCAATTCCATGGCCTTGACTGATGCCTTGATGAAAGCCGTATGCAAACAGTGGCCTTTGTAACATTCAGAGGGAAGCTCAGAAACTTTTTATTTTATTTTATTACTGGTTAAAAATAAATAAATTTAACTGAATAGGATTAATCGAGGATTAATTACATTGTGAACACAGATGGTGCAGTGCACAAACAGATTCAGGAGAAAACACCAAGTGTCCAGTACATCATACAGATCATTTTTAGCTCTGATGGGCTTTACTTATCAGTCGAAGCAGATTTGTTTAGTTGCTAACTGCAAAAACAATATCTCTTAGATTTTCTGTCTTTGGAGAAATTTGACTGAATGGAAATGGGGAGGGAGAGGAGGACAGCAGGGGAGAAGAGAAAGATGAGGGGAGGATGACCACTATATTATACATACTTACAGGTGTGCGTGCTCCTAAAATGTGTTGCTGGACAGAGTGGACTCTAATCACTTCCACACATCCAGGTAGAGGGTTTGTCTTATGCTGTATAGACTGTAATGTCCTTTTGAAGCAAATTTTGTGTTATATGTCTTAAATAAAATTAAATAAATAAAATTGACTTGGCCTGACAGCAGCAAAGAGATAGAGGGAGGGGGGGGAGTGTGGTGTGGTTTGAGTCATTGAGCCAAGTGAGGTCGTTCACTTTTCCAGGAAAAGGTGAAGTGTACGTGCATATCTGTGTGCCCCTTATCCAAGTATCGTGTGTGTGTGTGTGTGTGTGTGTGTGTGTGCAGCTGCCACCTGCACACATGTGACTTGAATTTGAGATGATTCAATGGTCTTGAAAATGATTTCTTTTACTTTTTTTTTTTTTTTTTTCTTTACCAAGATTCCTCTTTTTCTACAAGTTTTCTCAAATTACATCTGCCCAGTATAACCACAAGCCTCCTAACAGGAGATGAACTACTGTTTTTATTAACCTCGATTAAAGACTTCTGCCTGCATATTTATTTTAAGTTAACAGTGAATCATTCCCAATCAGATTTTTTTGACCAGACAAAGATCTGATTGGGATTTGGTTTAAAGTCATTGTGCAGGCAGAATGCTCTCGTCAACAGGTGTGCTTCTTACAGTTTTTCTCGATTGCTTAAACACACCTCTTAAAATTATGTCTTTTTCCTCGAAACTCTGAACACAAATCCACAACTTCTCACCCAATTCTCCAAACGTCCTATTTTCAGGTCAAAAGAAGCTCTCTGCTGAAAACCATTCAATCTTGCTGAAAAACCAAACTTTGCCCTCAGACATAACACACAAGCCCTCAAAAACACACACTACAACACAGTCTCTCACACTGGTGAGATAAAGTCAAAACAATACTACAAAAACTAGTTATTAGTAATGTTGCTTGTGGTTCTCCCCCTCAAAAACCTTTTCACATGATGAACACAACAGAATAAATAGCAAATGTAAACATTTTTTACTTGTTGGTACAACACACCAAACAACAAATTATTCTGCCCCAACGTCCTGTCTTTGGTTTGGGACAGGCCAGAGACCCTCCCCCTCCACAGCCTCCCCTTTTTCTCCTACCGCTACCTCCTCCCCTTTAATATTCCTCCTTCCTTCTTTGGTGTGTCAGTTTTGACTCTTTGTGTTTCCACCTGGGTAGTTGTGTGCGAATTGAGCTCAACCTGTGCTGATTGAGTGAACAGTATTGAATGTTAGTGCTTTATCAGTGACCACATGGTGTAGGCAATAAGAAATGATGGGATTTGTGTGTAGAGTTTAGGGAAGTGGGTGTGGAGTTAACGTTTTGAAATTTTAGTTCAAAAGCCTGCCAATAGTGTTTAAGCAATTGAGAAAAATTGGTTTTGTTATGCACAGTATGCTCACTTCCTCTTAAGAAAATATGTCCTCCTTGTCCGTCGCATGTGTGTTTTGTTTCTGATCAGATCTTCTGATAACCCTCGGCTGTCATTACTGCTCGTTGCGGTTGTAATTTTCTAAAGGTTATACTGTAGAGTAAGGATGTGCAATTAATCAAATTTTATTTTCAGTGGCTGCCTACGATTTCGAGAACAAGATTATCAAGATAAAACAATTATTGTGCCGCATTTGGTTTCACAGTAATGCTCTCATGTTATAAATCCTGCGCTGCTTTCCTTTACAGCCGTGGCTCTTGCCACAGCTTCTCAGCCAGGCTGTGGCATGTTCAGTTAATCTTGAGCCGAAGATGACTGGGTGGTTTATAACTGGCATAACTTGTTAGTCATCATTATTAACTTAAGCATACAACATTTTACAATGCATAAATTAGACTACAAAGCTCATAGCCTTAAAAAATTACATATTAATATTATTACTTATATTACTCACAATTGTCACTGCATCTCCTGACAGAACAACAAGAGTGAATTTCAACGTTATGTAATGTCACGAGTTGTCATCAACTTAGTTTACCTGTCAACTGCTGAGACCCCCTCCCCCACATATGGCGGCGCACCTGCCCCAACCCAAAGCAGTCAACCTATGGAAACACTGCGCTGCTATCATCCTCTGTCGATCTAAGATGCTGTTTGAAGTTAATAATGTTCGATTACTATTTCTGATTTCATGGGGTAATGCATATATAATTTTAGTAAAACATCATCCGTTAAGGAACTTTTTAAAGGGCATGCTGAAGCATGCAAGTTCAATAAATGCATGATGTTCCCTAAGTCATTGAGTAACTACAAAAATAATCGTGATGTCAATATTGACCAAAATAATTGTGATATGTTTTTTGCCATAAGCGAGCAGCTGTGCTGTAGAACCTGGTTGGTCATCGTTTTGATCACTTAAAAAATGTCAATTGCAGAAAATGTGACATATTTGAGTTTATGTAAGTGCGTGAGTGGTACTGAAAGAGGAAGAAAATGGGGGAGGGAAGGAAACCTCTTCAAGCAATAACTGGTATAACTACCCTGTTCTGTGTGGCCTTAGGTTACCCAACAAAAGACCAGGTGGATTCTCTTACACGCACGCACGCGCACACACGCCAGTAGGAATAGCATGAACTTCATACCAACATTGATGACTTGTAACTGATGTGCCGACACTCGGTAGTTCTACACAGAAAATCACCTTTTTTGATACAAAATTTTAACACCCCCTTGGTTGTACAGGTCTGTGATTATTAAGGCTCATAACATAATTTCTGAATAGCTTTTGCTTTTCTTCTGTTTAGGTTGCCTTTGTTCCAGGCCAGTGCTTTTGCCTTCCTTGCACCAGCCAGAGCCATCCTGTCACTGGAAAAATGGAAGTGTAATAATACAGGTAAACCTTCTTTCTTCTTCTGTCTCTCACTCTTGACTCATTCAATACAGACACTCCCAGCTATTAAAATATTTTGACAAAACCTGTGGGTTACTGTATCCTTTGTTTACTTTGATCCCAACTCCAAATGCTGTCAGCATCAAAGCCTGCAAAGACGGCAGATAATTAACCGGGCCCCAAATGGGATTAGCCAGTTTATATCTGTGTGCTTCTAAATGAATAACTAGAGTCATGAGTCACACAGAGATCTAATTAATCTCTCATCTAACCGTCTTTTTCCATAAGCAGCGGTTCCAGCGTTGAACAGTACAGAGCTCCTCCACACAGAGCACATCTGGCACCCCAGGATACGAGAGGTGAGGCAAAGAGAGACAAATGAGACACTCTGACAGACTTGAAAGGTAGAGAGGAAGCTTAAGGGGAGAAAACTGGATAAGTATAATATTAAAAGATCACTTATAAACATTAAGTAAGCTCAGTAAACATTAGCGTCAGTTGTTATGCACCCTAACTTGAATAACACGTTATTCAACTTGAATAACTGCTTAGGCAGTTTGTTTTACACAACTGTAGTTGAATAACAGATGTTTTTGTTAGCTAATGTGTTTTTTTTCAAGCCCTCCAGCATTACTTTCTGCAGGGTTTGTTTTTCTGTACCCGGAGCTGTTCATTTGTATTGACCTTTTCCGTTTGCGTAAGCAGGTTGAGTTGAATTGTTTTTTTTTTGTTGTTGTTGTTTTTGTTTTTTTATGTGAGACGTAAACGAGACTAAACTCAATCAGACTAAATTCAATTGTTGAATGGAACATCGATGAGCTGAGCGCAGGGTTAACGTGCAGGTGATCAAAGGTGACAGAAGAGAATACAGTGATGGTTAAAGACAGGACAAACAGGATTATCACTCAGAAGTATCAAGCGAACTGGAACCCTGGTGATTCTGTAACATCAATCTCTAATGTTATTTGTCTGAATTTTAATAAACCTAATATTATATTTATTAAAATGTAATAATTTCTTTTATTGCTAGAGAAAGCTTTCTTTATTCCAGGCGTCCGGGGCACCTTCTTTTACAAAAGGCTGCTGGAAACCCTGCCGCACTTTAGCTAAATGGAAGTAAAAATAGAGATTTAAAATGTACTTTCAGTTGCTTCAGTCAGTGAGCCTGCACCTGCACTTCATGGGGTTGAGTTGTTGATTTAAAGTAAACATATTTATAATAAACTTAATTTATACAGCAGTTTTCAAAACAAAGATGCAAAGTGTGTTATATGGTTGAACCAGGATTAAACAGACATTTGAAATTATACGATAATAAAAAAGGAAGAAAATACCACATAGGGAAGCAACAATTCAGCAATACGACAGGGAGATAAAAGTGTTTTAAAAATTCATTAATCTTAAAATCATCTTTAAAACTTGTAACAAATAGCTTAAAACAGGACTGATATAATCTTGTCTTCTATTATTTGTTACAGCTGAGCAGCTGCAATTAATACTAGCTGTGATCTTTTTTGGCTCAACCCTGAATTACAGTGATCTAGAGGTCATATAAACACATGTATGACCTATGAGATGGGGGGGGGGGGGGCTGCAGCAATGTTAGTGGTTAACGTTCTGCTTCCTTTTTCAACATTTCTAAAAATGTCTTTGTTTCATTAACCCCCCCTCGCTACAATTTCTTTGTTCTGCCAGATCCAAGGGGCTATCATCGTGTCGTCCCTGATCGAGGTGTGCATCGGAGCGCTTGGTCTGCCCGGGATCCTGCTGAAGTACATAGGACCTCTGACCATCACGCCCACCGTGGCCCTTATCGGCCTGTCTGGTTTCCAGGCCGCAGGGGAGAGGGCTGGAAAACACTGGGGCATTGCTATGCTGTAAGTACAGACGCAAAGAAATGTGGATTCAGGTGCCAACAAAAAAACCAAAACACTTTTAATGTGACACTCACCCTAAAATCCACTTATCTGTTGTCCCTCAGTGTGTGTTCATGATCTCTTTCAAAATGTATAATGTGTGAGCAACAGGACAGAAGTGCATTCCCGCATATATGAGCTGTAGTGGATAATGCTGCGGGAGTGGTATGACAGGTTTCTATAAACATGAGTTTACAGCCACAAGTTTCACACTATTGCCTTAAGCTTTTGTACAAAGATGGAAGAGTTTTGCTCATTCACTCAACAGACTACAGTGATTGATCCCCTCCCTTTACAGAGGATATATTTGCAGCTCAAGAATGAGCAATTAAGAGGAAGTCCAAGACAGGAAGAAAGCACTAGATCGAATCAAATAGGCCGTGGTGATACAGAGGATTGACTCATCGGGCAAGATCCACTTCAAAGCTGTGACGCTCGTGTGGTGTGACATCAGTTGCTGCTGTGTCATGGCTGTTTAGTCTGTAGCTGGAGGGTCTCTCCTTTCGTTCCACAGGGACAAAACGAAATGTGCTGAGGCAAATTGATTGGCTCTGGAGTCTTCGACAGACGTAGACAGGAGGAAATGAAGCATGCTCATACAGAATTCGTTCTCTCACAGAAGAATATCCTTTATAGACAATAATAATAATGAACACAATTCTCTGACTGTGGTGCATCAAACTGAGGAAGATTGTTTCTGTCTGCAGGACGATTTTCTTGGTGCTGCTCTTCTCTCAGTATGCCAGAAACGTTCACTTCCCTCTGCCAGTCTACAAATACAAGAAGGGCTGGACTTCTTATAGGCTGCAGGTCTTCAAAATGTTTCCTGTAAGTACACAACTTCTCATTAAAGTACCTTTTAATACAGCAGATCTTTGCCTTTTCCACAAACTGTCTGGACTCCTCTTTTTGATTCCTTCTACTTAGTAAATGTTCTCCTCTCTTTTAATGAATTGACCTTGGCTTCTTTACAGTTGTCCCCCCATGCCACCAAAACAAGCTGCGTTCCCGCAAGTCACAAATTATTCAACAGAGCTAATCTCATTCTCCCTGGGAGGTTAAGGGTTTTTCCGTTTGCAGGCCCCTGTGCAGTGTAAAAATCAATGTTTTCCTGCCATCTGCTGGTGATATATTGAATTTTTTTAAAATCTCACAATCTCATGTCGAAGCTACCTATCGGTCTGATTTTTAACTGTCTCCTCAAAAGGCTTCCCTTGTTGTGGGGGTCACTCTTAACTAGGCATGGGCAGGTATGAGATGTTCACGATATGATAAACCTCGGCAAAAGTATCACGGGTTTCAAGGTATTGCAATTATAGCTGTGAAATGTGTTTTTCCATTGAACTTTTCAAGTCAACAACATACTACTGCTGACTATCAAGTAACGCTATAAAATCAAGTTATTGTTTAAGTGTGGATCCACAAACGCATAAGGAGAGAGAGCGCAAGTGTGTCTCACACAACAGGACATAGTTTTTAAAAAACAGATTTTTAACAGATGTACACAATGGTGGAAGACTTAAAGGTTGCTTTTCTATTTTAATGTCTGACTTTAAAATGACAATAATGTTAATATTATTATTTGGTAGAAATATACATAAATTTTATTTATTTTTTTAAATAGCCTAGCAAAAGTCTTGGCGCCTGCTGGAACTTGGGCGGGCCCTACCCACAAAAGCCCGCCCAAGGCAACAGGCCTGGTCTGTATCTTTTGTAATTTAGCGTGTAGTTATGAGAAGGATTTAAATTTGATGCCTTACATTTATTGGGACGGCTCAGAAGTCTGCGTGGTTTGGTTAATATACTAGGAGATACGGAGCTGTAGATTAGAACGGTTAAAGTGGTGGTGGTGTTTTTTTCACTTTGTCTTCGATGTCTTCTCTTCTCTTGCACCCAGATCATCATGGCCATCCTGGTGTCGTGGCTGTTGTGTTTCATTTTCACTGTCACTGATGTTTTCCCTCCGGAGGTGGACAAGTACGGCTACTATGCACGAACAGACGCACGTCAAGGAATCCTCTCAGCTGCACCGTGGTTCAAGATCCCATATCCCTGTAAGTGTGTTTATTATGATGAGGAGGAAGAGCAGGACGGGGCTGTTGGAAAGATTATGCCTGGTCTCCATGAGCCGTTGCTGACCCAGCTGCAGGTAGCCATATGTGGATAGTTTCTGTTGCACATGAGCAGTAAACATTTTCCTTGGACTCAACTTCCCCACATCTCCCTTGTTCTGATAGTTGTTGCTGGGAGGAATAAAAATCTGTGATGTGACACTTTAAGATTAGATTACAAGTACAATAAAGTGCAGTTTGCCATCTGACCAGATCAGTAGCAGAAAATATAATAATATAAAAAAACTCCTGTGCAGAATAAACATGGTGTTTAGTTATAGTCAGAAAGGGTGTTAACTGTGATATACACAAAATTAACAAAATAATATACAAAGTATAGCAGTGGATGAATGGTATATACAGTGGAATGAGTCTGGTTATGTTACAATATAATGTATAAATAGTTAGGAGAGGCAGATATTTGTGTAAATCATACTAAAAATCCTCAGAAAATTAAGAAATTAGAGGTCATATTATGCTTTTTGGCTTTTTCCCTCTCTTTTATTGAGTTATATATACATTCTTATATATAAATTTCAAACGCCCAAAGTCCAGCCCAAAGGGAGTTCCCATCTCCCACAGAAAACTCTGCTCTGAACAGCTCGTTTGTAGTCCAGCCGTTTCCCTTTCACCCCTGTGACGAGACAGCAGAATGCACATCATAATGGCTCGCCAAGCGGCTAGTCTGACGCGCCCTCACAAACACCGATGATAAAACGCGCTGAGCTGCAGCACACAGTGACAAGATGTCCGCCTGCTGCCTCCCCTCTCCCTTCCAAACACTAGCTACCCTCCAGGCAGTTGATGGACATAAAGTTGTTACTGTGATGTAGAGACAGAGCTCAGTTAAAACTTTATTGATGAAAGATACTTTTGTTACAGATTAATAACTCATCACTCTGAAACTCTTGCTCCAGTCTATGTTGCCAAGCTGGTCGGCAACATGTACAGCTGAACCAAAGCAGTGTTTACCAGCTTTTCAGGGCCCGCCCTACTCTGCTTCTGATTGGCTAGTAGTCCTTAACTAGCTAAAACGAAGCTCTGCAACAAGTGGGGGAAAAAAAGGAGCTGCAGAAATGTGCAGTATGACAAATGATATCATGTAAACTCCTAAATCAGAATCAGCTTTTTTTGCCAGGTATGTGTACACATACGAGGAATTTGACTCAGGATTGTACATTGCTCACGATGTGCTTACTAATAAAATCAGACACAGGCTTCAGTGTAGGCAACACAAATATACATACTATGAACAAAAACAATCTAGACATATTGACAAATAGTGCAGTGAGCAGAGTGCAAAGGATGTAGGAGTTTGTACATGTCGGAGGTGGATGTCATATACAGGTACATATACTTATTTATTCCAGCATCCTTTGCACTATGCTTCATTGCACTGTGTACATGTGTAAGTAGTTTGTGCAGGAGTAATGAGTTGAGGTAGGTGGATTGGTATACAGTATCTACAATACTGTAGATACTATACGCTTTGTGTATTATTTTGTAAACATGATTTTGAACCTGAAAATGAGAATAATATGACCTCTTTAAACTGAGAAGTGTAAAATAGATTTAAAAACTGCATCTTAAATATGACCCACAACTAAACCCCTGCCAGATGTGATGAGTTTAGATGACCTGCGCTTTGTTTTTTACCTCTACAGTGCAGTGGGGATTTCCTACCGTCACAGCTGCTGGTGTGATCGGCATGATGAGTGCAGTGGTGGCCAGCATCATCGAATCAATTGGAGATTACTACGCCTGTGCACGTCTCTCTTGTGCCCCTCCACCTCCCATCCACGCCATCAATCGGTAACTCTTCAGTTTGTTATTTCTGTTTTATGTTAATTCTCAGTTTGTTGTTGAAGCGGCGCACAGGCAATTTGCTGTCTGGAAGATGCTTTAATTACGTTGTTTTTCTGCTGTCTCTGTAGGGGGATATTTGTTGAGGGCATTTCCTGTGTGCTGGATGGTCTTTTCGGGACAGGAAACGGCTCCACCTCCTCCAGTCCAAATATAGGCGTCCTAGGAATCACAAAGGTAACATGCCTGCCCCCATTTCATTTCATTCCTTTTATCCAGCATTTTGATTTTGTTACCCTTTCTACATTTATTTGACCTGATGTTTATGATTACATACGATACATGTGATACGTGAGCCTCTTCGTTTCTTTCCTTCTCTGAAAGTACCCATATAGTTATTGTATTTATTTTACCATGATGGTTTAATTGTGCAAAAAAGCTGAAACAATAAATCACTTTATTCATTAGTCAATCGGCAGAAAATTAAGTAACTACTTATCGTTTCAGTCACTTTTCAAGCAGAAATGCTGAACATTTGCTGGTGCCAGCTTCTTAAAAGGGAGGATTATCTTCTTTTAACTCTTTAAAAAAAAACTTTTAACACTGCAAAAACTAAAATTTTAAAAATTAAAAATTAATTAATTTAAAAAATTATCTTAATTGAAGGCAAAATATACTTGTTTTTTTGTCTGACAAGATATTTCTTCTTACCAGGCTGCTTTTTATGTTAGAGTATTTCACTTGTTTCAAGTTTTTTGGCCTTAAGTAGCAAGTGAAATATTCTTGTTCTGTTGCCAGATAATTTTGCTTATTTTAATGCTTTTTTTCCCCTTGCTAAGTTTTTCCAGTGTATGATTTTTAAATTGAACATTTGGTTGTTGTTTTTTTATATAAAAGAGCAGGGCCATTTTCTTTAAAAATTTCTGACATTCATACACAAAATAATAAGCTAATTAATTGATAATGAAGGTAATCTTTAGTTGCAGCTCAACAAAATATAAAATTCCCCCGCTTTCTCAAATAAATTCCTACCCATTATCCCTTTTTATACGTGTATTTTATAAGTGTCATTCCATTAAGGTGGAGGTATAAATAAACTGAGACATACACACCACTCCACCACTACCTTGGTTACTACCAGAAAAGTCAGCACTCTGGGTTTAAATACAACACTCTGCAACTGGATATTGGACTTCCTCACAAACAGACCCCAGTCAGTTCGAATTGGCGGACTCGCCTCCTCCACTCTAGTGCTCAACACCGAAGCCCCCAAGGGCTGTGTGCTCAGCCCCCTCCTGTTCACGCTGTACACCCACGACTGCATCCCTCAACATGAAGAGAACTCTGTTGTGAAGTTTGCGGACGTTGTTCAGCGAACAACCTACTGCTCAACATCAGCAATACCAAGGAGCTGATTGTTGATTTCAGGAAAAGGGAGCGGGTGAACAGTTTCAGGTTCCTGGGAGTCAGCATCACGGAGAACCTGACATGGTCGTCTCACATCTCTATGCTGGTGAAGAAAGCTCAAACGCCTGTATTTCTTGAGGAAGATTAAGAAGGCCAAATTCCTGTGCTGTGTTCATGTCAGCTTTTACAGAGGAGCAATAGAAAGCATCCTGACTGGAAACATGTCAAACTAGCATGGGATGTGCACGGCCCAGGACCAGAGGGCTCTGCAGCAGGTGATTAAAAACTGCTCAGAAGATCATTGGTACCCATCTCCCGAGCATCAATGATATTGGTGAGGTGCCTACGCAGAGCCCAAAGGATACTAAAGGACCCAGCCACAGCCTGTTCACCCTGCTGCCTTCTGGGAAGAGCCCTTTTATTTCGTCTCTCACTGTGACCCTGACTGGCCTTTTTCTCTTTGCTTACTCTGATTTCTGGTCTTTCAGGTGGGCAGCAGACGAGTGATTCAGTATGGAGCTGCCATGATGCTGCTGCTGGGGCTCGTGGGTAAATTCAGCGCCCTGTTTGCCTCTCTGCCTGACCCTGTCCTGGGAGCTCTGTTCTGCACGCTGTTTGGTATGATCACAGCGGTGGGACTTTCCAACCTGCAGTTTGTTGATCTCAACTCATCCAGGAACCTCTTTGTTCTGGGTTTCTCCATCTTCTTCGGTCTGATGCTGCCGAGCTACCTCAAACAGAACCCGCTGGTCACTGGTGAGTGGAGGGCAGAGATTCTTACAAACTAGGACCCGGCGATATAAGCTGACAAATTTGGTTTGACGATTAATGGAAATTAGCAGTATAGAGCAGTACTATAAATGAGTCATTACTCTGAGTAACTTTTCTTTAAGACAAAGTTAAATAGCTTCTGTATCACATCTCTTTCGACTGCCTTTTTGATACTTCCTCGCCATGCACACGTCATATAGTATGAATATAAATGTGGTGCAGGTGGTGGAAACTGCTCGTGAAGCTGCAACTCCTTTTTTGACAGTGATTACATTTAGCTTTGTAAATTCTGTCATTTGTTTTTTAAAACAAGTATTTTTTCTGTACCACCTGACCTCCAGCTGTACTTCCCTCCAACTTTTGAGACATGTCTAAGTTAGATTGGACACTTATGGTTTATTACACCACTTAAAACTGCTAAAACTAGGTGAAACCTCTCAGACTGGACTTTCTCTGTTTATAAATAAAACCGTACAAGTACACAGTTACTAGGTATTGAGGGTAATTCATTGTTGACAATATCCCTAGGGGAATTAATAAAATCTTTTAGCATGCTAACGTGACTGATATCAGGTCTGTTAAAGAATCATAATGACTTAAAGACATTACTACTAAACACCCGTCTCTTATCTTTCTCAGGCATAGTTGAGATTGACCAAGTGTTGAACGTGCTCCTCACCACTGCGATGTTTGTCGGAGGCTCAGTCGCCTTCATTTTGGACAATACAATCCCCGGTAAGGTGTTTAACCCACTATTTCTTTATTTTTTTCACATTTGTGAAACTGATGATGTTAATGGCCCTAAAAATGAATTTACATTGTGCCATAGCATTTATAACTAGATGATACTGATGATGATGTAATGGTAGTTTAGAGTATGCAAAACATTTAAAGGAAGAAAATCACAAGATGTGATTGCCAAGCAGGTACAGGCACACATGCATAAAGGCAGAATGTGCTGGGGGCTGGTTATATATCCTGTTTGGGAACATCTTAAGACTTAATTGTGAGTTTTAAGGAACTCCTGATTTAATCTTTCTTCCTTTCCTCCTTAGGGACCCCTGAAGAACGAGGCATCGGGAGGCTGAAACGTGGCTCTGGTGTCAGTGCAACAGAACTGGAAGGGATGCGATCTTATGATCTGCCATTTGGAATGGACTTTATCCGCAGATACCCCATCTTCAAGTATTTCCCCATCAGCCCCACCTTCACAGGCTACCAGTGGGGGAGGCTACGGGAAGCCTGCAGGAGCAGGCATGGGGATGTGGTGAAGGGAGGAGGAATGGGAGGGGAGGGAGGCGTAGCACAGGGAGAGAGTGGGGTATAGCCAACGTGCAGGAGCTGAAAAATCTTCTGGGGAGCAAGGGATGGTACACTAAAATAGGCTAATAAAAGTGGGAGAGTGGAAGACAGAAGCGGTGCAGGATTCGGGATTGTGCGGAACCGTCAGTATGTGTTTTCTTTAGCTTGTCAGTCTTTTCCCACTTCCCACTATGCTATTTTAAGCATGCTATAGCAAGTCACAGCATGCAGTAAAAGATGTCACCATGCAGAGGTTTGTTGATGTGCGTGCATGTGTATACAGTGTGCAGAAAGAGATGATGGGTTTGTGCATTAATTAACTTGCACTTTAATCCAGAAGGAGACAGATGGACGTCAAACAATCATAGCTTAATGTTTGATGATTCACTGCTAACTTGTACTGCCCATTTTATAAAACGTGTTCTTCTAAAAGCGCAGTGTCATTTGAGGATTATGCAAATATCTGTTTTTCGACTCATTTGCCTCTAGACTTGTTATGCAACCACATTAGAGATGTGCACACATGCTCACACACCAATCACAGCCTAACCGAAACTAGCTTGAGCGCCACGATGCACTTCAGGGTCATGCAGATGGATGGAAGTGGTTTGTCAGGTGCCCTTAGTCATGCAAAGTGATAGTGCAAAAAATACATTTCACAATCTGCCACCTGAGTTCAAAACCAGAATGTCACTCCACAACTCGCGCCCCCATTTCTTCAGTGAAACTCCTCAGAGACCCGTTGAGCAGCACATCCGCTCATCTCATGCTAAAAAACATCTCCCCCCCTTTCTTTATATAGTAGCGCTAATATTCACAAACCAGTTTACATCTCTCTGTGTGTCAGTATTGTGCACTAGTTACTAACGAGACCAAAACCCTATTTTTCCTGAACACACCCTTGTCTCATTTGGCTGTCAAATGGGATATAAAGTCTTTCACTTCATTAAGGAACAACATTTATTTTAGCAAGATTTTTGCTTAATCTTAATTTATTTCATTTATATCTCCTCGAACACACGTATGCACGTACATAACATACATAACGAAACAAGCTTTTAATACTGCCGTGATTACAGCAGTGCATTTGCAAAAACTAGATTAATGGCACACAGTAACAGAGACTTGGAGGATCAGAGAGCTCTTTCTTAAGCCTAGTATTTATGTACACAAGATGTGGATCTTCTCTCACAGTTTTTAGGTGTCACTTCTGCTCTGCTTTACCAGTAATGTGTGTTCATGTGGGATTTACAAATGCTGTACCATAAATGAAACCCCCCTGCCTCTATCCAAACACACTTATTTCCATCACTTACATACTTGTGGTTAGAAGTCAGAGGTGGTGGTTTAGTTTGAATATGAAGTTTTTGAGTGTTGTAAGAGGTTTTTTGGAGAGTTGAAATTCTTTTGTTTTGTTTATCGACTCACAGATGACAATGTGTGTTTTTCAGCTGATCATGACTGTTGCTGTTTCACCTATTTAATGGTGTTGATGACTTTCCCTTACATTCCTCCTCCTCCCCGTCCTCAGTCACCTGGACGCCTCCCACTCTTATCCCACTTCCAATATATTTAACAGCTGATGTTATGTTGCTCTTCATGTCTGTAGCAGCACATTTGGCTGAGTAACCCAATTTATTAACCCAGGCGTGACCTTACAGAGTGAGTCTCTGATTTTGACCACACTGTGTGCCTCTGGTGTTTTGAAGCAAATTACAAAATACCATACAGTTTTGCAACATTATAATCTTGGGGAAATGTAGAAATAACGCACAATGAGAAACATAACAGATAAGAAAACTAAATATTTCACTCAAATGAGACTTTTATAAAACCAAAAGGCCAAAAGCTCTTTTTTTTTTATTTCTTCTTGTTCTGTTTCCATATACCAAAACAATTCTTAAAGCACTGGCATTTGAAATCTCATCCCAAATTTTCTCTCCCTTTTATCTCTTTATATCTAAACTATTTATTTATTTATGAGAAGAAAGTTGATGCTTAATGATTGCTTGAAGCAGGTTTATGTGTCTCTTGCACAATGTTGAAAGTATATTTATAAGTTTACTTGTTCTTGCCCTGCAAAGATTGGTGTGATGATGATGATTGACTGGCTACTCCTGTACCCTCAGATAGTTGGTGCTTTTTAAAAACTCACCTGGAGACAACAGTTTTGTAAAGCTGGTTTCTAATGTGAGATTTAAGCTGCTTCTATGTCATTCCATTTATGCCATATTTTTAACAACGGGATAGTTTAGTCAGAGTCAGGGCCTTTTTACTACAAGTACTGTTTGCACATGTAATGGTGCCAAGAACATCAGGGTCTGAGTGAGGAATACTCACTAACCTGAGACCCTAAAATGTCACTAGTGTGCTTTTTCAGATTTATAGTAAAGTGTGAATGTTTGTTTTATTTGATGACCTGAAGACAAGTGGATGGACCGCTTTGTGATTTCATATTTTTTGGGCCTTAGTCAATGAGCCTATGTTTGACTTGGCTCTCATAGACTCCATACATTACTCTAGGGATTTGGTCACATAATGTTCCCAACGCAGATGTTTGTGAAAAAAATCTAACAGTTATCCAGCAGTGGGTTGCAGCTTGACAGGTTTTTTTTGTCTGTCTGTGAATGATAAAATGTTTGCACAGGACAAAAACGGTTTAACTCTTAATATTCCCGCAGAATGTGGTGCTCTGCTCTTCTACTTTGCTGGATGTACTTGTAGCTAGTCTACAGTACTGTGCTGGCAGTGACCGTGTTGCACCAAAATCTGTGACCTGAATAGGAATTTCATCTGGCTATATTGCCACAGCTAATGTTTTTTTTTTATTATTATCATCATACTCAACAGACTGGTCGTTTATTCTGCAGTGTCACAGCTATCAAAATGTGTGACCCTGTCTAAATTATACTGGGTCACCATTTTCACTAACGCCTATCAAAATTTATTATGCATTAAAGTAAGATAAAAACATATGCAGTGGTAAAATAGCTGAAATTCCTAGTCAGGCCACAGAATCAAATGGGTGTCGGGATTTGGTGTAACACTGGCAGAGAGTTGAAATTTAAGCAGTCGGTTTTCTGGGTAGGCCGTAGATATCAGTGACACGACCGAACCACAGAGGAACATAAGGAGTGCTGAGGTCACAGAAGCGGCGAGGCTAGCTAGTGACCACTGATGAGTGCAGAAATTGTAACTCTAAAACTTCACCATCCTCAGCCAAGTGTTGGCTGTGTAAGAAGCGTTGGTAAAATTAGCAATGTGGTGTTTGTAGACCAGCTGATGTTTTCTGACTTCCCTGCCCACGTTGACTTCCCTTGCTCCAGGAGCTGGTGACAATCAGAGCAGTCACCGCCTCCTGCTCCTTCTGCGATCAATTGATTGAAGGTGGTTTGGCATCTCTTGTAGTGAATTCTGTAATACATGGCATGCACACACAATAATCACATGACCAACTTGTGACCTTGTTTTCTGTTATAACATGCAATCATCACATCCTCTCTCCACACACTCTCTGTTTACCCACCCAAGTCCTGCAGTGAAAATCTACAGGTGTCGTCTCATGTTTAGTGTACCTGGTTTTCTCCCCGGGAGTTTGTACTGTTATTTGTTGATGCAGGAGAATGACACCTGCTGGCCACCTGACTGAGAGCCTGAGTTACTGGCCACCGAGTGAATCCGCCTTATCACTTAATGGCAAGATGAACATTGGTTATTGATGGAGGCTGCTTCCCCTTCATTTTAACTTTAACCTTTCAGTTTTACCGTACGTTCTGTTATTTCAGGATACTAAACGCATGCATATGTGTTTCTCATTCTCACATAATTGTTAGAGTAAAAACATTTCAGCCCCAACTCGATGGTATTCTGTCTTGAATTACATACATGTCAGTTTAACCAACAGATGGCTCTTAAGAAGGTGGCCATAAGGTATAACACAAAGACATCAATCCCTTTCAGTTATTTTGAAGGGGGTGATACCTGAAGAATATACTTTTGTGTATTAAGTGTTTTATCTTTTTCAATGTTTTTGTCTTTTTTATACATCGTCATGTTTTTGCAAGCAAATATTTGTAAGAAACAAATAACTTTTAATCTTAAATCATGCTGGAAAACGCACCATTTTATTGTACTTTTTTTTTTTTTTTTTTTTTTTTAAAGAAGTAAATACATTTTAATCCTATTTTGAATCTGTGGTTTGGTGAAATCCTTTTTGTTTGTTTGTTAGGACCTTTTCATATTGTATTTTTTTACTCTAACATTGCTTTCTGTCACACATTACCAATATAAATGAGAGTGAGCTGAGAAACTTTAAATTGATGTAAAAATAAATGTATATTTAATGGAGTAAAGTTTGCTAAACCTTCTAGAAGACAAATTGTGTAAACTAATTGTAGCAACAAAATGTTTATTCTTTGTTCCTAAAACTATTTAATAAGATGTTACCAAATTAATGCAGTCTTTTGTCTTTATTGGTCACCAACTGTGATTGTGATGATAAAACAGATTCTCTGACAGTTTGGATTAACCACAATAAAAAGACTGACTGGTTGTCCAGAGATTGATGTGTTTTACAGGAAGATATAAAGGCTACTGACCATGAGTTTCTTCTGTCTGTCACATTTTTCCTCGCAGTTGTCACCCTATTTGAATACAACTATCAAAATACAGCTAGCTATTGAGACTGCAGGTGGTCAGATGTAGTCAAATTAATGATTTTATGTAAATAGTTTTACGTTAAAATTAGCCTTATAATGTAGGTAAAGCTGGATTATAAACCAGGCAAAGTGGCAACTTCCCAACATCCCTGTTTGTTTGGGAATATGCACTACTAATGCACAGTTTCAACTTATACAGTAAAGGCTTTGAGATGGGCCCTGCTTTTTACCAAATGTTAAAGCCCTCTTGAAAAGAGGGTCCCTTTGTCAAAATGTAGTTTCAAGTTTGTTTGTTTGTTTATTTCTGCTGATCCTGGACACGATGCAGAGAGTGAATGGAGATTATTAGGGACACTGCAGCTCAGTGTTTGCCATGCATGCATGCAGCTACACAGGAGCTCTCTTTGCCAAACGTTTATTAACAAACAAACACCACTGTTTTCAGTGTTTGTTTTATCTGACTGCTTCAAGAACAACAAAAATACTCTTACTTTTGTTTTCTCATTATTGTGGTATCCTATTTCCATCAGGAAAAAGAAATCATGAAATTTTAGGAAAAATAAAAATACATATCAAAATTTTAACATACTTATATTCATGAGATCCTAAGCTGGCAATAGAAATGTTGACTTCCATCAAATGTATGGTATCAAAATGTTGTCTCACTATTGACCATTTACTTTTATAATAACGAAGTCTCAACATTGTTTCACATGGGACGTTTAAAAATCAGTTGCAGTCTTGCTAAAGTAAATTTGGGTTTCTATTGAATAGTAATGACTGCCTTATTATTCACCAGACTGACGGTGTGCGCATGCTCTGCTCTCCCATTGTTTCCGTGTTTTCATTCATCTTCGCACGCAGCGTGAACAAAGGGGCGTCAGGGTCGCTCTCCGATTGGCTCCCGGCCGTGGCCCCCCGACGTTGCTGTGCCGCGAGCTCCGCCGCAGCAGATGGACCTCTCGCGCTCTCCTCCTCCTCCTCCTCCTACTAGCTGCTGGATGCACGCGCCCCAGTGATTGTTTCGAACGGCAGGAGAGCGAGCTGACCGAGGAGTTTACCGTTAACGGGCAGTTCAGCCGCCGCGGAGAGAAGGACGGAGGTGGGAGAGGAGAACCGGAGAGCCCGTACTCCCGGGTTTGGTGATCCGACACAGGAGCTCCAAAACTCCGCAGGAATCAAGTAGGCTGATCCTGATGGTGTCTGTGGGTGGATGATGTGGAGTGGGTGTAGTTTGACTTGTTTGTGCTAAAACAAGACTTAAAATGTTTTGACAACATAAAATGCCAAACAGAAACCTTTATATCATTTATTTTTATTCTATAAAAGCAGAGACGACACAGTTACAGACTAAAAACCTCGAAATTCAGGATTATGTGGCGTTTTAAACTGACATGCAGTGATACGGTGTGCTCCGTAGCACTTCAGTGTGATGGTCCAGACTAAATCCTGAATTAAAACGATATATATTCCGTATCTAATCACATTTGTGGTCTCTAGCAGGGAGTGTGCATATGTATTTAGAAAAACAGGTTACATAACAAGCAGTAGATAGTTAAGATTCCTCTCGGCACACATAAGCCTGGCTAGACAGAGGCAGTGCTTCAGGACTGAGGGTCTGCCAAAAAAGTGAATACCTAATGTTTTGGCTTGTAACCCAGTTTAGTTAAAGTAGAGTTAGCTAAAAAGCAATGCAGTTTAATACAGCAGCGCTGCTACAAGTCCCACAAGTGATGGAGCTCATAATGTTAAAATGATTGATTTAACTGTAGGCTCATTCTGATAAACTAGCAACTGAGTGTAATGTTAAGCTTTACTAAGATGTGCAGTAAGTAAGGGCTGCAACAAATGATTATTTTCTCAGTTAATCATTTCATCTATAAAAGCAAATCACAAGTTCCATCTTAAAATGTCTTGTTTTGTCTGACCAAACAGTCCAAACCCCGAAGATATTCAGACTGCCATGAGAAAACCGGACAGTATTCACATTTAAAAAGCTGATTTTTGTTTTAAAAACAACTTGAATCATTAATCGCTTGTCAGAGAAGCTGCAGATTGATTGTGGATCGACTAATAGTTTCCGCTCTACAGTCAACTAAGCAGAAAGACCAGCTTAATCTGGAGAATCTGGATGCCATATGTAGATTCAAAGTCGAGCCTTGCAACGTCTTTGACAACCCCAGCAGGCCTAACAAGGAGCAGGAGAGACAAACACTATTTTTGGCTCAGCGTTGTGGACTAGTTGTTGGAGCTTAGATGTTTTTTGTGTTGCTATGACAGTGGTGACAAAGGCAGAGCATTAGTAATGTGGGAGCTGAAGGCAGGGGTGGTGGTGGAGAGGAGGTTTGGAGCTATTCATCATCCATTTCAGCCCAAGTCTTTGACAGAGGAGGTTCAGAGGCAAGAGGGCAGAAAACAAGTGCGCGTGTGTGTGTGTGTGTGTGTGTGTGTGTGTGTGTGTGTTCAATAGCACAGTGGATGGCTTTTAGTCGTTCACAGGGGAATACGAAGGAGACGGAGGAAAGAGCTGAATGAGGAAAGATTTTCCTAATCAGAAACACTGGACAGAGGTTAATAAATTGAGTTCCTGTGGTGAGAAACAACTGAGCCGATGAATGAGACAAGAGGTAAAGGGATGGAGACTGAGGACTGGCTGGTGGTGTAATGAGTTTTCAGGGAGTCAGTGAGGTCTACATTTTGACTGCTGTCCTGTACAGAGTGGAGCTCCCTGATCTGAATCAAGACTACGTCAGCTGTGGGTCAGTCTGGCTGCATTTATATGCCGCTGTTGACTATAAATCGAAAAGCAGAGACAGCTTTCTGCAGTTTGAAGATAAGATTCAATGTAATTTTTCCTTTGGGAAATTGTTGCATAGCAGAACAAAGTAGGAAACCGTGCAAATATAAAGAGTCAGTGTCATACAGATAATTTCCACCAACAGCCATCTCTGTTTTGGTTAAAAGGCGAGGTTATTTATACAATTTTAATCTTGAGACATTTTGTTAATACAGACTCTGAACATAGTAGGCTAAAAGTCAAAGTAGAAGATTATGTTGATCTTGTTTTCCTTAATTTAAGGGATCACATGGTCTGCTGTGGTGGTGCTGGACTATACTGCCAAACATTAGATATTAATATAAATACTGCAGCAATGTTTTGGGGGTAACTGGTGGTGCTTTGAGGCAATATTTCCCATCCAAAATAGGTTGCGAAGATGGTCTCTGACAAAAATACATCACGTTATGTGGTTATGATGATGTCTAAATAAGTTTCAGAGTAAATTTTTCACCTGCCTTTTTGACTGGGCAGGGCTGAAGCTACCGCTGAAGACACTGTGCTAATGTCCGCAGTATTTTTTCGTTGGGATTTTAACTACATGGGTTCTTCAACTTAAACTGTGGTGGGCAGTTTTCAGGCTAATTCCATTTTATTTTTAGACTCATTATAGTTAAATTTGTGTTCTTTCAGGTCAACAAAATAAGGACAACAATTTAGATCTTGACATCGAACATTTAAAGAAAAGATAATCAAGCAGTTAACTGAATAAATAATACAAATGTTGGTGTCTACGAAAGCAGGGCTGTGTTGGAGGGATTTTGACTCACGATCTCAGTAATACTAAAATGTTTGTGGAACTGGGTATTAAACCTAAATGCTTTTTTGTCTGAACAGTTTCACAGTTTTGTTTTTTTATCACATAGGCAACGTTCCTGCACAGCTGCCTGTGTTTGGACAACATCTAACATTTGAGAGGTTTTCTGTCTTTTCTTTATATACATTGCTCAAAAAAATAAAAGGGAACATTAAAATAACACATCCTAGATCTGAATGAATGAAATAATCTCATTAAATACTCCTTTCTTTACATAGTTGAATGTGCTGACAAAAAAATCACACAAAAATTATCAATGGAAATCAAATTTATCAACCCATGGAGGTCTGGATTTGGAATCACACTCAAAATCAAAGTGGAAAACCGCACTACAGGCCGATCCAGCTTTGATGTAATGTCCTTAAAACAAGTCAAAATGAGGCTCAGTAGTGTGTGTGGCCAACTACCTGTATGACCTCCCTACAACGCCTGGGCATGCTCCTGATGAGGTGGCGGATGGTCTCCTGAGGGATCTTCTCCCAGACCTGGACTAAAGCATCCGCCAACTCCTGCACAGCTTGGTGCAACGTGGCGTTGGTGGATGGAGCGAGACATGATGTCCCAGATGTGCTCAGTTGGATTCAGGTCTGGGGAACGGGCGGGCCAGTTCATAGCATCAATGCCTTCCTCTTGCAGGAACTGCTGACACACTCCAGCCACATGAGGTCTAGCATTGTCTTGCATTAGGAAGAACCCAGGGCCAACCGCACCAGCATATGGTCTCACAAGGGGTCTGAGGATCTCATCTCGGTACCTGATGGCAGTCAGGCTACCTCTGGCGAGCACATGGAGGGCTGTGCGGCCCACCAAAGAAATGCCACCCCACACCATTACTGACCCCCGCAAACCGGTCATGCTGGAGGATGTTGCAGGCAGCAGAACGTTCTCCACGGCGTCTCCAGACTCTGTCACGTCTGTCACGTGTGCTCAGTGTGAACCTGCTTTCATCTGTGAAGAGCACAGGGCGCCAGTGGCGAATTGGCCAATCTTAGTGTTCTCTGGCAAATGCCAAACATCCTGCACTGGGCTGTAAGCACAACCCCCACCTGTGGACGTCGGGCCCTCATACCACCCTCATGGAGTCAGTTTCTGACCGTTTGAGCAGACACATGCACATTTGTGGCCTGCTGGAGGTCATTTTGCAGGGCTCTGGCAGTGCTCCTCCTGCTCCTCCTTGCACAAAGGCGGAGGTAGCGGTCCTGCTGCTGGGTTGTTGCCCTCCTACGGCCTCCTCCACATCTCCTGATGTACTGGCCTGTCTCCTGGTAGCGCCTCCATGCTCTGGACACTACGCTGACAGACACAGCAAACCTTCTTGCCACAGCTCGCATTGATGTGCCATCCTGGATGAGCTGCACTACCTGAGCCACTTGTGTGGGTTGTAGACTCCGTCTCATGCTACCACTAGAGTGAAAGCACTGCCAGCATTCAAAAGTGACCAAAACATCAGCCAGGAAGCATAGGAACTGAGAAGTGGTCTGTGGTCACCACCTGCAGAACCACTCCTTTATTAGGGGTGTCTTGCTAATTGCCTATAATTTCCACATGTTGTCTTTTCCATTTGCACAACAGCGTGTGACATTGATTGTCAATCAGTGTTGCTTCCTAAGTGGACAGTTTGATTTCACAGGAGTGTGATTGATTTCACAGGAGTGTGATTGATTTGGAGTTACATTGTGTTGTTTAAGTGTTCCCTTTATTTTTTTGAGCAGTGTATATCTCCGAGCTGTGATCCTGTGATTTTACTGAGATCTTGAGCTGAATAAAACCATTAACCATTAAAAAAAATACAAGCGCATTAAGCCTAAACATTTTAAAACCACTTTTTTCACCAACAGCAAACACTAAACTGGGTGCACATTTATTACAACGCACTCTGGCAGTAGCTTTAAAGGTTAAATGTCTGATTTAATCTTTAGTTCAGGAAGTAACATCAGGCAAGGATCAATTTTATCAGGTGACAGTTTAGTTGACTTGAAGTTCACGTTGGTCTCGTGACTTGCCAGACAATTACAACATTGTCTTGGTTTGTCAGCTGGCCACATGTCTGTCTCGGACCACTGGCATCACCTGTTAATGAGTCTACGAGCACAGCCGCCCTTGACCACGACAGCGGTATTAAAGGCTAATGATTTCCTTTTGTGGAGGTGAATGGTGAGCATTCGAGTACTTGACAGGCAAATATAGGTGCTGAAATATTGATAGACCTTGGCAGGGGGCCTGAGCTGATTGGTGTTTAATATTTAATTCGTCCACAATAACTGAACACGATTATTCCAGAGATTGACAGCCTCAATTTATTTATCAGCACTGTGTGTTTGAAATCACTTGCCAGGTTTTGAATATCTTTGTTGATAATATGTTTAGATATGTGTCAAATCTGAGAGTTTGGGTCACGAAAGAGGGATAAAAATAAGGCAGTTTAGTGTGGGTCTTATCTTGTATCTTTCTGCCCGTGCTCTTTGTTTGGGTGTACATGATAATTCTTCCGTACTGCTTGAATTGAGGAAGTTATGGGCTGTGTAGAGGCTAGTGTCAGTTTCCTGTGTGACTGACTTGGTAAAGGAGGAAGCGATTTAACGGAAGGCGAGCACTTCCTTTAAATGCACCCACTCTTCCTCGTCTGTTCGCTGTCACACTCACAAGAAAGGACCCCGTGGGCCGCTTGAAATTGACCTGAGTGACAGAACTTCTGATACCTGAGGATACATACAGAGTCTACCTGCCTAACCCCTCTCTCTCTCTCTCTCCCACATCTGCAGCTCCCTCTTTCTGGAGACTCAACAACATCACACAGTCTTCACTACGGTAGGATCGCTTGTAGTCTTGAAACTCACATTTAAATCCATACTTATTTGGCTGGTGTGTCTCTCTGACTTATTAATATTTTGCTAGTTGATCTGTTACAGAGGCACTGGATGTGTTGTGTAAGACAGTACTAAGGGAAGAAGCCAGGTTTTTGATGAAAGGGGCTGAATTGATCATCGATTTCTCTAAGTTACATTATTGTGGTAAAGAAATCTGTGCTTAAATTGTAACAACAGTAATTAACATTGTAGACTTGACTGTCACTGTGATTGTTTACACTGCAAACACAAGTTCAAAAGGTCTGCTTTTATTTTGACACCATACAGAAAAGATAGCAATTCTGTGAGGCTGACCTTAGTGGTGCTTTAAGCTAAATGCTTACGTCAACACAACTGATGTTGAGCAGGGTTGCCATTTTAGTTTAGCCTGCTTTAATTGATTAATTAGCTGGTTAGATAAGTCTTTGAGGAAAAGTCAGAGGATCAGCAAAGTTATTACTTTCAGCAACGTGAATTTTCTGTTCCCAATTTCATATCCATTTCAAAACTAAAAACCAACCTCCTGGTGGTGCTAGATAAAGTCAGTAGGATTCACCCTCGGGACCAAATTTCAGTAATATTTCAGTCAGGACTAAAGTGATGGACACATTGGTAATGCCATCCATGGAGCCATGTTTACAAATGCATTCAGAAATGGTCCACAAAAATGTAAATTATTTGAAGGTCGGTATTAAAATGGTCTTTGTTTGTGCGTGAAATGCAAAGAAAGAGAGAAACAAACATTAACTTCAGTCATCCAGATAATAAAATGTCCAGACAGTTTATAGAGTTTGAGATGAATCCTCTTCAGTTCCTCACCTATATATCCAAAAAGAGAGACTGCATGCACTGTATGTATAGATACAGACATGAGAGGTAAATGCATATAATGTGTGCTTGTTCAGGCAGCTGACATGATTTGGCCCTGCGGGTGGCCCGTGTGTCCTGCACCTGTTCATCTCCTTCTGGAGGCTTCTGTCCTGCCTCCTCTGCAGACACACAAATATACACAAACGTACACACTCGTTCAGCAAACAGGGAGGGGAAACTCTACGGAGGCATGGCTGAGTGCCATTAAAAACAGCTGCATGTGTGTGTGGTTATGTGTAAAAGACAGGCAAAGACATAAGGAGAGAATTAAAGGGGTGGCAGGAAAGAAGAAATATATTGGAGGAAGAGTGTGTGGAGAGCAGCTGTCTCACTCCATCACACGCCAAATGTTTTGATTGTGTAGTGAGACCTATTGCAGTGCCATTTGAACTTTTAAGTGTTGTCTCTTGAAGGAAATACATTGACAGGAAATAAGATATGATCTGCTGTTATTGTATACTGTGTGGAGCTTTACCTCCTCCTCCTCTTCCTGCAATCACTTTCCTCTCCAGGCTGCCCTCTCCATGTCTGTTGCTCGCTGCTGGTCATGAGGAGTCATGAGACCGAATCAGATGGGTGAAAATTATTAACTCTCTGTGTTGCTTCTGTGTGTCTCAGCTCCTCTCATGCTGACTGAGAATGGATGATACAGAGTACGGGGTTCAGATTGGAGAGAACAAGTTCATCAGCAAGTAAGGACTGAACGCCACGCTGTTCCTCACATGAACACACGCATACACAAACAAACGTCAGTATGTGCATATGAAACAGTTGAACTGTAGTTATTTAGATTTTTCACTCATGTTAAACAGCCTGACTTGTGAGAACAAATGTATTTATGCTTTATTCACCTTTTGGTATAAAACATTCAGTCAGGATGTTAAATCACCACACTGATAGGGATGCTTATTGATTCAAAGGTTCTGTGTGTAATTTTTAGTGGCGTTTTTTAGTTGCGAATTGCAACCAACTGCTCAAATCTCCCCTCACCCCTCCCTTTGCGAGTTGTTGTTGTTCTTCATTATTTAAGGTCTTTATACACCACTGAAAACATAGTTATGTATATTGTATTGCGTTTCTGTCAATAGATCCTTCTAAATATTACACACTGGACCTTTTAAAGGGTAACTTTATATTTTTGTATCTGTGTGACTAATTGGGACAACATCTTTTGAAACTGGTCCAGTATTGAGTGCACAGCTGCTGGCAGAAATCCCTGCAGGCTATTGCCCCCCATCAAAGTATGTCCCCTAAAGTTTTTGTTTTTGCCACTGACGGACTCAGATTGTTATTACAAGTGTCTGACAGCACTGTGCAAAGGATCCCTACAGAGATAGACCTGTTTTTAAATCGCTGCTCTTTCTCCAGGGTAGCAGTCCTCTCACATCTTAAGACATACAACCTCTACTATGAAGGACAGAATCTACAGCTCAGACACAGAGAAGTGAGTATTTACAGCAGTGTGTCTGCGTGCTTACTCTTATTTTAATGTTGTATTGTTTTATCCTCCTTTCCAACAGAAGCATCTGAATGTCTCCACTCTTCACTACTTTTCCTCCGTCTTCCTGTCGCCATTTTAAATTTAATATACCCGACCCATTATATGGTGAATCCCAAAGGAGTAATAACTGTCCATTGTGTGTATTTATATATGTGTGTGTGTGTGTGCGCATTGATCACAGCTTCTCTCTCACCAACAGGAAGAGGGGGAGCTGATTGTCGAGGGCTTGCTGAATATCTTCTGGGGCCTGCGGCGACCAATCAGGCTTCAGATGCAGGATGACCACGAGCGAATCCGACCGCCCCCCTCCTCTACGTCCTGGCACTCGGGTTGCAATCTGGACAGTCAGGGGTAAGAGGTCCAGACAGATCCAGTTACATCTTGCTGACCGGAAATGGTGATACGCAATATGTCAGCGGGGGCAAATATAGATTATGTCTAGATTGTCTTTGTGTCATCCCTTTTTGTTGATGTGCGATGTCATTACTTGATATTCCAGCTTTAAATCCATGCAACAAATGCATAATTGATTTCCACAGTTTGCTAAATCCTTTGATGAAGCACTTATTTGCTTTGGTCCATAGACAGAAGTGAACCCTTTAACCCTCACCTCTGGCTCGGTTTTGGATTTTGCCCCAAGCTGCCACAGATCAACCACAGCCCCATTTTCTGCTCTGTAACCCCATTCATCAGAAGAAGTTGTTCCAGGGAAAATAGCACTCACAGGCATGCAGCAGACATTTTGGGTGTTTCGGGGGCCAATTTACTTACAGGAAATACACACAATTACACTTCATGAAAAAGGGCATTAACTAACACCACAGCTATAAAGTTGCTTTTTTACTTTGATTCCAGTTAGCCTCATTTATCTGCAGCAACAGCGGTCTTGCTATCAGCATACAGACAACCTCTCAAGCAGAGAGCTCCAAAGAGGCCAAATAATCCATACTGATATTGCTGGTGCAAAAACTTACTTAAAATATCAAAAGAAATAGTCTCTCAAATCCTGACAGCACATCTCAAACATAGAAAAACTGCTTCAACAAAGAGTAACAGGTGTTACAAGTTGAAACTAACCAACAGGGATGTGACGCACATACTGTATAGGTGGTGTACAAGTGGTTAACAAAATGCCGCTTCTTGGCAGGGAATCTATTAAAACTCACCTCTTTATCCGTGTTTGCAGTGATGATGTGGTTACTCCAAAGTTAATGTCCTTGTTCTTGCACTGTTTACATTATTACTTACTGCACTATTGAGGGGTCTCGTTTATAAACGGTACGTACAAAACAGGGCTGGAAACATGCGTACGCTACTTCCTAAGAAAGATTGTGATCTATAAAAAACAAACTTGACAGGAGAATGTGCTCTGCGTACGCACTTAAACTGGGGAAATGAGAAACAGCGCAACATGAATGAAATGAATACTGCTGTGTAAAAAAAATCTAAATGTTACCTCTGAGTACTGTAGGTTTAAAGCCTTTCTGAATAAACACCCGTTTGATTGACTTTCCCTGAAGTTCACAAAAAAAAACATCCTTAAAGATCATTTGCAGCACACAGAAAAAGATCCAGATTCAGGATAATAAACACAAACAAAGATATCTGTTTCTGCAAAAGAACGCCTCAATTATGTTGTACAGTTTAATCAGGAGCAATATTAATTAATAGCCTACTAGCATGCAGTGCAATTTATTCTCATAAATAAGGTGAACAGGAGGACAAATTACATTTAAATTGATGCTGTTTTCAGTGCATCAGTCGAGCAAATAGGAGAGCATAGTGTCATATATTGTTATCAGATGTTTGTTGCCTTTTCAAGCCAAATGCTGTGCGCAAGCGTCTGAATGTTGATGCGCTGCTTGTAAAAACACATTATAGAAACATTATTTTATATCATTTACAAGAAGCCATATTTATTTTAACTCATCGGCAGCCTTGTTTAGTGAGTGGACTGTTTGTGTAGCCTAAATAAATATTCAAACACAAGTGGAAGTCATTTGGTTTACTCTCTTTCAAACGGGGGAATCCAAATTAATACCTGGGCCATCCCGTCTTGCGTGTGTGTTCCCCTCCGGTCAGTGACGTCACTACTCAGGAGGGTTGCCCCTTCCTGCGCATCGGTTATAAAGGGATGGAGCTCCCCGTGCCCCCTTTCCTTCGGTGCACAAGCGTTGCGTGAAAGTGCGTTTTTTACCCACCAAACCATGTTTCAGCTTCACCTTAAAGGAATGTCAGTGCTCCAGCAGTCAGTACATATTAATATTAAAGAGGCATTTCACTGACCATTTATAGACAACTATGGGCGTTTGGAGGGTTGGACATGGAGCTCCCTCACATGCGCCATATTTCAAGTTGATTGTGATTATGAAGGGAACTTGCTTACAGATGTGCACACGCACGGTTTTATAAGTCTGAATATTTTTGTGCGTACGCTATTTTTGGCTTTTGGGCGCACGTACACTTTTAGTGAGGATTCTATGAACAGTTTTATAAATGAGACCCCTGTTCTGTAACTCCCCTCACATTTGTCTACAAACAAAACCTTTTCCATTTATAGCCAGATAATAACAGTTTGTATCTGCAAAGAAACTCGGTTGTATCTTTATAGTTTTGCTAGCTTGCAGCTCTTGTCCTCTGGCTCTGTGTCTCGTTGTCTCTCACTCTTGTACGCTCTCGTGTCCTTTTTGAAGTTCCCCCACCAGCACAGATGGTCAACAGCAGAGCCCGCCCACAGTGGAAGTGACGCCACCTGACAACCAACCGGAGGACAACGGTGTGATGGAAGAACAGACAGCAGGTGAGTGGCTTTACTGACTATATAAACATGGTAACATACTCCCTTGGCTTTAACAGGGATCCAGTTCAATTCCTAATTACTAAATAACACTGCTTTATTTGTGTTGTCTTATCAGTTGCCAAGACAAAAAAAGAAATGTTGCATTATGTCATTAAGATCAAATTAGCTTAATTCGTCGCGACGAAGGAATTAAAGCCTTATTCTTAGTTTGTTTTAGAGGTTTTTTTTCAACCCTTAGAGGAGTAAACTGTATATTAATAACTCCATTAGTAGAAATGAAAACATAAGTAAGGTTTTCATTTGACATTTCACTCTCATATTTGTTTCATCCTCTCCTTACGTGAACATTAGAAATACTAATTTTGTTTCCAGCTCTGCACAGTTGATGTTTACTGTCAGTGTCATTAAATTCAGTGTTTAGTGTTAAGATAAATAACCATCAAGAATAGTCAGTCTTATAAGTTCCCAGTTTAAAGATAAGTTAAGGACACTGAATAATAACTGATAATCTAAGCTAATGATGGTTGATTGGACAGAGGAGAGTGAGAGCTCCGCTCAGCTCCTCAGGACGAAGAGTGATGCCGGGGTCTTAAGACGGGGCCAGCGACGGTCACCGAGCGACCAGAGGAAAATTCGACGCAATCGCTTCTCCATCAACGGACACTTCTACAACCACAAGGTGATGCCAGACAAGTGTTTGCCAATGGATCCCAAGAAAGTCTGACAAAACAACACAGTATAATGTACAAGCAGAGAGTTTAATTTGAGAGTAATTTGTAGCAATTTTGATGTTTAAATTTATTTTAAACCCACGCTTGTCCACATCTGTAGACAAATATATAAACACATAAAGTGACATAGGAAACTCAGTGTGTGTTCTATTGTGTTTTTCAGACAGCAGTTTTTACTCCTTCTTACGGCTCGGTGACTAATGTTCGGATTAACAGCTGCATGAGCACGCCTCAGGTGCTACGAGTTCTCCTCAACAAGTTTAAAATTGAAAACAGCGCAGATGAGTTTGCGCTATACCTCGTCCATACAAGTGGAGGTGAGTGTGAATTATTCCTTTTATTTCTTATTTGTCAAGTTTATTGATGGAAAACACTACAATGATGTATATTTATATTTATTTTCCATATATGATTTGTTATTTTTGTTCTGTTAATCGCTACCTGTGGATGTGTTTAATGTTTCAGAGCGTGTGAAACTGAAGCGAAATGACTATCCTCTGGTACTGAGAATAATGCAGGGTCCATGTGAGCAGGTCTGCAAGGTTTTCCTCATGGAAGAAGACCTGGGAGAAGAAGTCACATATGATGTAAGTCATCACACTCAGTGGTTTTTTTTAAAGGATTTGATACAGAGCAATAAATGAACATGTCATATTCCGTCTGTTTGATAGCGTGCAGCTACCTTGCCTCTGTGTGTTCCATATCGCTTTATTTATCTCACCTTAGTCTCTTTTTTTTATGCTTTGTCATTATATTTCCCCTCCCTTCCACCAGGTGGCGCAGTACATCAAGTTTGAAATGCCTGTCCTGCAGAGTTTCATCACCAAACTGAAGGAGGAGGAGGACAGAGAGGTGCAGAAACTCAGGAGAAGGTACAACAACATACTGTATGTAATCTACTTCACGCCTCATCTCTGCCACAGTCATCAACACGTTCAGCTGTTCTTACAAACATTGTAGTACAGTAGTTTACATTGTAATTATTATCAAATGTATCTTCGCAAACATTTATTCCTCCTCTGTCTGTGTGTGTCTGTACTTGTAGGTATACGTACTTGCGGTGTATAATTGAGAAGCAGCTCAGTTGTCTTCCAGAGGGGGCGACGTGTATGTGATCTGCTCATCAAACCACTCCCAGAGTACCACATCCTCCTCCCAGCTGTGACCAAGAGAGTGACCAAGAACCCAATGTATGTGTTTCAGCGATTATCCTGCTCCTCTGAATTCCTGCCTCTGCGTGGGGTCTTTTTCAAATCATCCAGTCGGTCAACATACAGACGAAACTTTGAGTGTGACCATCTCAGCAATAGTCTTGTAAAGAGTCTTGATTCAGACTCGATCACTTCATCTCCTTCTGCTTTTCTCTTTGTCGTCACACACAGTGCACACAGAAAGACATTCCTCTACACTTCAGTGAGATTAACCTTTTTTCAGAATGAGCCTAAAACTACACATCCCGTCTCTACCCTCCAGACTGCCAGAAGCCGATACCCAAAATCAGTTTAAAGCACAAACATCATATAATATGGTCTTTGTAAAGTGCCTGTTAAAAGGTTTCTCCAAGCACAAAGACACACAGCATAACATTAGTACAGCTGTAAAGTACATAGAACCACATCAGCCGACACTGTTTGGGTCAATGTGAAACCGACCAGACCACGAGCAGACACCGAGTCCCCACATTGCACTGCGTGCCTATATGTTCCTCACTGTTTTGGAATTTGTTCATCGCAGCCGAGACATTCACTGAAGGGATTATTGAAGGCCGTGTGAACAGATAATCTGTTTATGTTGCGTCCGTCAGTCTGTTGGTGGCCTGACGTCTCATTCAAACTGAATGTTTGTGATTGAAGTCAAAGGGATAGTTTGGGGAAACGCCTATTCACTTTCTTGCCAAGAGTTAGATGTTTGTTTGTGTGAGTACAGCCAGCAGCGGATTAGCTTAGCATAGCACAAATACTGTAAACACAGGGGGGAAACAGTTAGCCTGGCTCTGTCCGAAGGTAATAAAATGCACCTACCAGCACCTCTAAAGCTCACTGATTACCATGTTATATCTCATTTGTTTTAATCTGTAAAAAGAAAAAATTTATGACAAATTGTGGTTAATGTGTTGTTTCTTGGTCGGGACACGTTACCTTTCCATTTTATGCTATATTTATGAGGCAAATATTGTACAATTTGCTTCAGTACACCAATTTGACAACTGTCTAATAAATATATATATATATTGCTCTAAATACAATATCTTACATAATGAATAACTTTTGATACTTTAGTATTTTGCTGATAATACTTAATTGGTATTTGTACATTTTGAATGCAGAGGTTACTAGTTTACTTACTAGTATTAAAAAGTACATCTATAGGATGGCCTTTCTACATCTACTATACTTTTATTTATCATGAGATATGCTATTCCTTGGTCAGGACACAGCATTTTGTCATTTTCTACACGTGTTAATTAGTGAGCAAATTTTGTTACCTTTGGACGGAGTCTGGCTAGCTGTTTCCAGTCTGTGTGCTAAGGTAACCTGCTACTTGCTGTAGCTTCATATTTACAGCACAGAGTACAGAGTGCTACCAATTTCCTCATCAAACTCAATGAAGCTCAAACTTTTCCTTTAAAGAAAAGAAATTCCTGAAACAACCGAACACTTTTTGGGCCCCTTTTAGTGTCTGGTTCATTGTCCTCAGTTGCATTAATGCCTTATGTAAGAAGACAAGATGATGTCGTGTTGAAGCACAGTAAAAAACTGTTTGAATGATGAGCAACATAATTCTTCACACAATGACTCCTGGTAGGAGTTGGATGTTGGACTGGCTATACACAAGACGAGTGAAATCCCACTGAAAGACTGTGAATTACGCAGATGACCTTAGATGGAAGAATGTTGTGAATGTATGAATGAGCATTTCAAAGCAGTTCGCCTCCACATGTACAGCGCTTCCCTTAAGTCTGCTTTAGTCTGTGTGAGCACAGCCTGTCTGTTCAATATTTCTAATGTACACTGTTGAAAATGTCATCAAGGGTGTGTGTGTGTGATTCTGAGTGTGTGCATGTTGTATTTTTAGTGACTCTTAAGACTTGCCTGCTTTTATATTGTGTCTTTTACAAAATAATGAAGGAACTTTAGTCTTCAAGATGTTAGGAGCTCATGCCACTACCTGGAAAAATCTAGGGAGGGGGGGTTCATACAATGATTGTTATTTAATAAAAAAAAAGATAAACATACTATATCTGTAATCTCTTTAAATCTTGTCCAGGTCACTGTGTGAAAAGCCTACTGTGTTATGTAATGATGTTTAAATCTTGTGTAATTTAAAATGACGAGATACAACTTTAGTCATAGTCGAAGCTTCGGGAGAGCTCGCTAAGTGGTTTTCTGGTTTGTTCACTTAGTGGGCGGTTAAATAATTTAGACAAAATTAGAAACACAAATGTAAAAACACACACACACAAACACACACAGTTAGCCTATTTATGTCTGATGTTGAACAGCAGCTTACTGTACACTCAGCCAATGAGCAGGTGCCAGACAGAGTGATCCACTTCACCTGATAACCTCGTCAGGAGGACCACAGGCTGGCCCTGAAACATACTTCTCACTGTCAGAGGAGCTGCAAACACACGCTCTCTGGTTTTTACCGTTGGAAGAGGAGCATCATCTGAACCGCTGCACTGCAGACAGCCACTCAACAGGTGAGACTTTTTACTGTAAGAAGAGATTAATTTTTAGAATGAATGAAGGACATTTTTGTTATTGGTTATAACTATGCATGTAAATCACCATAAATTCATGGTACAAGACAGTGTATACATTGTCAAACAGCTAAAACATCTTTAACAGTCAAATCTTCAGACCATCATTGAGTACAATAGTATTCATAATTTAATGACAGTATCATGTAGTAGAAGAAAATTCTATCTATTAAATCATAGATCTTGCCTTCATTTCCAGGCTTTTGAGACAAAGCAGTCAAACAACACCGTGAACCAGAACATTTCAGGGTTTTGTGTATTTTGAATTAAGATGTGTTTCTTATTTAATATAACCTGGTATGAAGCTTTATCTAATTTTCAGCAGGTTTGATTTCTTGTTGTGAGGATGTGATGTTATTTAATATGTCCTCTACCCTTTACCCTTACCTTTTTTAAAAATCAGAATGAAGTGTTTTACCCTCTTTGTTGCTCTGAGCTGTAATCTGAGAGTCACTGGATTATTCTCAAACTAAGTGACCCGGTGTAATTATAGCTCAACTCATCTTTTAAGAAGACACAGATTAGACTACGTAGTTTGTTGACGGCAGAGTGAATGATGTCATGCTGCTCACTGGGTGAAGTCAGTGGTGGAAGAAGTATTCAGATTGTTTACATAAGTGAAAGTAGTACTACAACACTATAATAATACTCCCTCACAAGTAAAAGTCCTGAATTTAAACTTCTATTTAAGTAAAAGTATAGACGTATTCACAAATTCTATTATTGATGTATTCAAATGTATACTTTAGTGTTCCGAGAGGTGGAGCCAGTTTCAACAGCTTCATATACTTGATAAAAATGCATCATATTTTGTAAACAGATCATATAGGTTGTTAAACCTCAATCTGAAAAGTAACTGAAGCTGTTAAATGAACTTTAGTGAAGTTAAAAGTACAGTATTTACCTCTGAAATGTAGTGTAGCATAAAATAAAACTAGTGTTTAATTACAGTACTTTTACTGTAAATAAATGTACTTCCTCTTCACCGCTGCATTCTTTACATACTTAACAACATTTTGTTATTATGTAGGAAAAAAATGCTGTCTCCATTATGGAAGAGAACGTTCAACACAGTATATTTTGATTTTGGTACTGCAAACATTTTTACTGCTTCTTGATTTTTCCATTTTATGCATAACATGTCATATCAACTATGACTGTCTACATATTATATATACTACTACTAGAAATACACACATTATGGCTGCCAGAGTAGAAGGTATTGTAATGGATGTATTGTAAATAGCCTTTTAAATGTAATTTATTTTTTATTTTCATTTATCTGTTCCTCCTGTCAGATAAGTGTTTAGGTTAAAATTTACAAAACCTCAGTGCTAACAAACAATTGTCCATTGATGACCATGATGCAGCAGGTCTCGTTAGATCTGGAACCAGATTAAATCTGATCCCAGGTCAGCTGTTTATTTGTTACAGTGCTTGTATAAACTGTGTTTCTCAAAGCTGGTTAAGAGTCTGTACTGCTCCTAATTTATCAGCAATGTAAAAATAACACAGCAGGACGAAAGCTGCCATGAGAACATCTCATCAGCCTTCGGGAAGCAGTACAAGTACAGTTACTTTGTACAAGTACAATTTGATGTACTTGCACTTTACTTTCCATTTTATGCTATATTTTTAAGGCAAATATTGTACTGTTTACTTGGGTACACCAATATGACAGCTATAATTACTTGTTACTAAATTTTGCCTTCAAAATATATGATACAACTTATATAAAACTAAAATATAATGCATTTTATAAATTAAACAACCATGTATAAATTAATAAAAAATGACCTTCCTCTCAGACAGCAACATTTAACGCATCAATAATAATAAACCAATGATATTTTATAGATACAATATTACATTTTGCATAATGAATACTTTTACTTTGAACACTTTATCCTTAATTGGTATTGTTCAGGGCTTGCAAGTTTACATACTGGTATTTAATAAGTAAATTTAAGGCCTTAACATCTAAGATAGTTTTTTTTATCATGAGATGACTTTTTGTTTTACAATGATAATTGTTTTTAAAGCTGCTTCTGTCCTGTCAGGGTCTTTATTTTCGTAACCGTCAGAAGTCATTGTGCTTCTTGCTTAAAAAGTACTTATTACTACGAGTAACAGTAACAGTTTTGACAAAGTACGCTGTGGCATTGCTACTTTTATTTCAGGAAAAGATCTGAATATTTCTTCCACCACCGTGAAGAACTGAAAAGTCCAGAATCACCTGATCTTTACAGAACAGAACAGAAAATACTTTTTCCAAAGTCAATCTTCCTAAAAATTCCTTTTCATTTGTCTTATTTTTACAGCATAAAAAAAAAATCATGTCTGGCCTGCAGAAACTCTCCCTCACAGTTGCCCTCTGCCTGCTGCTCCTTGCCACACTGTTGCCCAGCTCTGAGGCCCGGCGTGGAGGTGGTGGTGGCTTTGGCCGAGGTGGAGGAGGCTTCGGCCGAGGTGGAGGTCGGGGCTGGGGCGGTGGTGGTGGCCAGGCCTACAGACCCATCCAGAGCAGTGGCCCCAGTGCAGGGAAAGTAGCTGGGGCAGCTGCAGCGGGCGCAATAGGAGGAGCAATGATCGGGTCTGCCCTGAGCCGCCCTGGGTACGGGTATGGAGGGTATGGAGGAGGGTATGGAGGATATGGGTATGGAGGGGGCTATGGAGGAGGGTATGGCTATCCACATTATGGAGTTGGCGGTGGCTACGGCCCCAGGCCTGGCTATGGCTATGAACCAGAGGGCTCTGGAGATATGGAGTACTACACTGGAGCATCTAGCGGCCCCATCTACAACAGCATCATCGTTGTCATCGGCTCCCTGATGTCCCTGCTGATTGGCCACTGGGTGGCAGTCATGTAGAGCAGGAGACAGAGCTGGGATCCTTAAAACAGACACAGACCCTGACTAAAAATAACCCACAACCTGACAGAAGACATTTTTTGGTTTAAAGTCAAATATGAAATATGACCCTTGAAATATGAAAAGCTGTGGTCAGTTTGTTTCCCCGACACTTGGCCCTCCATGTAGACAGGAAGAGGAATTTTGACCCATTTAACCTCTACAACATGCCGGTGTGATGCCACATTTCAGTCTGCAACTGTACTGACAAACAAAGAAAACCACTTCCTGTAGATATTTATTGTCATTCCCATTTCTCTTAATGTGGTCAGTCTTTTTGTACTTTTGATGATTGTGGTGGTGACGGCGATATTTATGATGGTGATGATTTAAAATTTGATGAAAAAAACATTCTCTGTAGTCAATCTGTAACGATAGACCAGGAATAAATTAGATTAGTTTATTCATGTTAAGCCTACCTCAAGAAGCCGGAGTTTAAGAGCAGCTACACATTTAATTTGATAATGCCATTTCTCAGTATATTCTTCATAACTTAATCTTTTAGAGCGTTTTTCAATCTGCCTGCTCTGCATCTTGTTATATTTTCAGTACATTGCTTGTATACTTTACCTTATTAAAGTACATGTTTTATGCCATTTTGTAGAGGTTTATATACAAATGTTTGATATTGTTATATAAGTAAAAAGAACTTAGAACAAACATTTGTGTAAATTTTTATTGTCTACATTATTGTGAGAAGAAACCATTCTTATGTTACCTGCTGATGAGAAAAACTGTAACAAAACCTGTCGCTGAAATACGTGTTTTCGATTGTATAGGAGACTTGATAAGCACAGGTTGAATGTAACCAAGTACATTTACTCAAGAACTGAACTTTTTACAGTACAAATTTGAGGTGCTATTACTTTACCTGAGTATTTCCATTTTATGCTGCTATATCCGTCTATTCTGTGACCTCTCAGGGGTAAATCTACTCCACTACATTTGTCTGACAGCTTTAGTTACTTTCCGGATTACAATTTATCATACCCAACCTGTCCAGTGAAAACAAAGTATCTCCAAATTAATTTTGACTTTGATTTGTTCTGGTAAACTGAAGAATGACATGGTCCTTTATGGGGTGTGTAAAATCTCCTACTTCTTAAGATAAATAAAAAGATAAACTTTTTTTTGATGATGATGATGCATTGCTGTATTGAACATTAGCACAACCTTAAATAACAACAGCAGTAAAATGAAACATACACATTAAAGAAGCAGTGATATTCATCCAGAAACATTAGATACAATAAAACATTAACAGGGAACATTTTACTGCACAATGAGTACTTTTACTTAGGTAAGGTTTTGAATGCAGGACTTTTACTTGTAGTGGAGTATTTTGACAGCATAGTATCACTACTTTTACTTCAGTAAAGGACTTGAATACTTCTACTTCGCTGCTGTTAAGTGAACAAGACCAAGAGTCAACAGCCTCACTACCAGTTCTGCGGGGCTGCACAGAGGTGGTCTGAGCTAAACGCTCACAGTGACAAAGCTAACGTGCTGATGGATAATATTACAATGTTTAACAACTTAGTTGTGTGTTTTAGCATGCTAATATTTCCCATTATAATTACCATTAAACACATTACAACTGAGGTTGATGGAAATCTCATTCGTCTAGAAAATATTTAAACAGAAACCAAAGAATTGCACAAATTTAAATTTGGTGATGCTGGTAGAAAGAAGAACAATCAGGAGATCACTCAAGTTATTACAGGTTATTACACCGAGGGGAACATGTATGTCAGAACAAAATTCAATCCTAATCTATCCAATAGTTGTTGAGATACTTTAGTCTAGAGCAGAGGTTTTCAAAGTCTAGGACTGGGCCCTCCCTCAGACAAAGCTTGGGAAAAGGTTAGCTTCCTTGATTAGTTTCGCGCAGTCCCTGGATGCCTTTGGGATCATGATTATGTGATCATATAATCAATTGATAAGATATACTAATGCTATATAATATTGCTGTATGACATAACCAAATACATAATAATGGTCTGTCCAAAGGTATTTATTAGTTTCTGACTTCTTTGAGCTCTCTCTTTAACCAAATCACACACTTTGAGGCTCTTCTATAACTCCTGTTGATGACTAACATAATAACTAGAAATTTAACCTCCATCAACGCCTCACTGTGTATTATAAAAACATGACAGTTCCATTAAGGTGCACAAGCTTGGTGGTTTGTGTTCAGCCTGTGTTTTATCAACATATGGAAACCTGATGGGGGGCTGTGGAGCTGCATGACTCTCAGCCTGTGAGCTGACATTTAACAGCCTGCTGCCTCCTATCATGTCACAGCAGACTGGACAGGGCTCCGGTTTGCTTTCTTCTCTGCCTACATTACAGCAGTAAGCATCGTAAAAATCTGGTGGTGTTTATTTGAATGCAACATTCAGCACAGTGATCTTTGGACCTTTCACACTCGGTAGCCATGCTTCATTACAGGTTCAGACCTGGAGCACTGGAGACGTGTTGACACAGCCCTCATGTTGTTATTCATTATGTGAAATGTTGCCACAACATACTTGATATTTTTACTCTTTCTGAGTTTGTCTGCAGTTTGTCATCTATGACAAATTAAGTCAGGGATAGAGGTTTGTTATTATGAACCTCTTTATATATATATATATATGTGTGTGTGTGTGTGTGTGTGTGTATATGTATGTATATATGTATGCATACATATATCTATATACATATATATGTATATATGCTTTCCACATTGAGGTTTATATTATATACTAATACCTTGATGTAGAAGTTAGTATATACTATGTTATGATGATGTCAGTGTAAATTGAAACATCAATATATTCACATACAGACGTAACACACATACCCCTCAACCCAATGTCTTACCCTCTGCAAATTTAACATGCACTTTTGTATTTTTACTTAAGTAAGACTTTTAAATACTTGTAATTGTAACAGGGTTTTTTTACATTATTAAGGCCCCCTGAATACTTAGCATGTTGTCATATACAGAGGCCAGTAATTCATACCCATTACTAAGCTTGTTAGGGAATAACATCAAAAGCACACAAAGCATGACGTGCAACATACAGGGAACCCACAAATGGGTACATACAAAAACAACATACATACATATACACACGAAAAAATGTAATATGTTGATTCAGATCATTTCATTTTCCAGCTTTTAAAAAAATCTCAATGTTTATGAAAATCTAAATTCAAATGTAAATGCGTTAGTTTGTAAATTTCCTTGTGGTTCCTATTATATCAGTATATATATATATATATATAATATAATAATATATATAATATATAATAAATCAGGTGTCAAGTAATTTGTGCTCAATCCACCAGAAACCCTGATTAACTTCACAATGTGTTAGATCCAAGTCATCTTCGCGAAAGCTTTTCATATAAAGCTTGTTTTCAGTCAAAACTTTCTTGCACACCCGATTCTAAAAGTCATAAAAAAAATATCCACAAATGCAAGTAAGTAAAGTTATTTGTTTATTTGACAAGATAAGCAAAAAGTGCAAGTCATCCCTCAGTATTCAGTTGAAGCTCCAGCAGCACAGCAAATGTGATCCGTCACAGTGAAAGACATTCACGTCTTTTAAAGCGGTTTAAAATACATTCAAAGCCAGACACAAGATAACGTAGGCTTCAACAACACGTTAAAAAAGGTACACTGTGGGGTTTTTGATCACTATAGTGGTCAGAGATTGTTCAACAGTTAATGAAAAAATGTTTGTTGTGATGAAATGTGTGGTTAAAGATGCAGCGGTCATGACAGTACTCTGCAGTGGCGGCAGGAGGCGGACGTGGGAGTAATAAATGGAAAAATCAAGAAGGAAAAGGTGTTGAGGCTTTTCGTTTATTGGCAAAACTGAAGTCAAAGAGGATTTTATACCAACGGGGAGGAGGTCACAACATGTTTTTGTTATATTTTATGTAGCTTCAAATTATCCCACTTGCCACACTGGGTCTCGAATAATGACCGAGTCAAATGAATTATGGAGGTAAGAAATGTGTTCATCATGTGTTTTGTCCAGTCGTGTTGAATTCGAGATGTTTGTTTGCAATTAAAACTCCAGAGAGTACCTTTTAATTGTTTTTAAGTCACCATAGTCTATGGTTAGAAAAGATATTGTACAAATCTTAAGTAATATACTGTGCACATCTTGATATGCAGGCTTAGCAACCATATACAGTTGCAGATGAATTCAGCTCAGAATTAGTACATCAGGGGTTTAAATCTTCTTAAGAGCACTTCTGCAATCACAAGCTATCCCACAGAGGGGGGAAGAAAGGCAAAACATTGGACAGAAGAGGAAGGTGTGTTTATAAAAAGACTAGAAAATATAAAACACACTAAATACATACAAATACCATACAATGCAATGGCAGTGTACATGGAAACATGTTAAGACAACACACATCAATATTAAGAAAAAGCCCACTTTGCTTTGCATTGATTCCAGTGTAACAATTTAAGGAGTGTTAGGATACAGCATACATCTACATCTGTCTGCTTATGAATAAGATATAATAATTAGTCGTTAGGACCTCATGTGATAAAAGTCCATTAATGGTTTAAAATACAAAGATATTAGTAGATATGATCTATTACAGATACTCCGTCATGCTAATTGTAACACAGTGGAAACCGCTCATAGTGATCACGGTTACAGTCACCAACTCTTTATATGGATCAGAAAGCTTAGGACAGGATCATTGCTTTACAAATGCTGTTTAAATAATTAGCTCATAGTAATCAAGTTACTGCTTACAGTGTTAATTTTGGGGTCTTTTCATACATATGGGGAAAAAAAGAATATTTTATTCAAAACGTTTGTTTTCAAACTCTGACATCAGTTTGGCATTGGTAGCCTACAGTTTATTTCCAGGCCTGGTAAAAATTTAGAAATGCACCGAAACCAGTGCTAAGCTGTGGCTTAAAAGCCTATTTGCACTACTGACGTTACTGTATTTGTAAACAGCACAACACTGTTTTACTGTTAAAGCGTAATTATACTTTTTACTGTCCTGTATTTTAAAAAACAGTCACTAATATTCAGTAAATCGCGAAGCTGTCCAGTTCATTACCTTATATGTAATAAATACACAAATGTTAATTAGATGGTCTGCCTGACAAATAAAGAAAATGATTAACTTTACCCGGACAGACGTGATCTCTATACGAGGTTTTTAAAGTTCACCGTTTTAGAAGTCTTCCGATATCAGCATCCTTGTTGGTAATATACTCATATTACATCTAAAGCGCATGTCCATTATTGTAAAGCGGTGTATTTACACAGATTATCACCATGACAGAGCAAGTCCTACAGGTGCAAAGTAACCCTTGCACATGCTTTGTCCTCTGAGACAAAAAAGAAAAGAAAAAACAACCTAGCCAGTTTCCTTGAATAAATAATAATTTTTTCTGAAACACACATCACAAACACAGAAAGATGAGTCACTGGTGGTGCCACTCCTTACTTCTATGGCTAGGGTTAGTGTTGAATAACATGCTCTGTGTTATTTTATTAAATCTAAATGGACATTAATGGGTCAGACTCCTCAACGCCAACAAAAGCCTGGAGTTTTAGAGTACAGTTAATGGACCATTTCTCTTTCAGAAGAGGAAAAAGGAAGTGCTATTTGTTGCAAACATGGTGACTCTCTAGTAGTCTAACTGTTCCCTTTCCTTTCCTTGAATAAATAGTAAGGACATGCATGAGGATGCAAAAAAACCCCACATAAAGTAGAAATTCACACACAATGAAGAAAAGGGAAAAAAAGGTTTCTTTCTCCCTAATAATTTTCCATCCATTTACTTAATTCCTTTAGCACATTCTCCATCACTTTCACTGCTAATGAAAGCGTCAGTGCAGCAGCATTAGCATGTTGCTATTCAGTAGCATCAGTATAGTACTGGTGACCACAGCTAAAAGCCCTCGCGAGCCCATCTCCAGTCCCTGCACCCCTCCGGTTTGTCTCTTCAAGTACTTTTCAGAGTAAACCATGTACAGCTCTATGCATCTCCGGACCTTCAGCTGATTGATCAGTGCTGGGTAGCCGATCTCCACGATGCTGACTGTATCATCGTCTTCATCAGTGCTGACAGCCTGAGAAGGCACAGGATTGACTTCAGGCTGATTTAGAGGGCTGGGAGTTGAAGGTGCAGTGCTATTGACCTCCTCCGTGTTGCTGCCTGTGCCAGTGTGCGGACCTGAGGTGACAACAGTGGTTGTGGTTGTAGTTGTGGCAGCAGGTTTGCTGTTTGGCTGTCGGTTCCCTGCAGGCAGAAGGTCTGTCCTCTTCATGCAGGCGTCCATGTAGCCGTCATAGGTCTCAGGGAGTTGGCTGTACCTGTAGTCTCTGCTGTAGTCGTTGGTGTCGGTAGACCTCGCACCATATTTCCTGTACATGTAGTTGTTGTAGTAATACTCCTCCTGGGAGTTGTGGAAGTTGAAGGGAGGACGGGGGAACCTTCCTAAACCGTAGCCCAGGGCCATTCCTACTATAGCCCCTCCACCTGCTGCCATCATCGCACTGCGCCCAAACCCTCTGGAATTATCGTTGGGACGCACGCCCATTGCATGAACTGATTGGGAAAAGGGAGAGCCGCCCCCAACACCGCGGCCCCCGTAACCAAAGCTGCCACCATAGCGAGGGCTCAGGATTTGGTTGTTTGGGTTTTGGTTGATGTATCCACCTGGATAACCACCATAACCACCATAGCCTCCTCCGTATGGGGAGCCCCGTGCTGGATACTGGTAGCCTCTTCCACCCGGCTGCTGGGGGTAACTACCCGGATACCCAGGTCTGCCTGATTGCGGAGGGTAGCCTCCTTGATTGGGTTGTCCAGGCTGTTTGGGGTACCAACCCTGAGAGTTGGAGCCCTGATTAGTGTTAGTGTGGGTGCTGCCTCGGTTGGACGGGGGAGACTTTGACTTTGTGCCGGAGCCTTTCCCAAAGCCACCACCTTTCCCAAAGCCACCGCCTCCTCCTCCCTTCCTGGCCAGTGAAAGATGGGTATGAAACAAAAGTAGTGACAGACATATCACAGATAATGAATTCAGCTTCATCTTCGCCCTGTAGGGAGGGTTGGGGAGACAAAAGAAAAATTAAGAAATGGAGAAAAAGGATTTTTATCAGTTTACACTCAAAAGACAGAATTGTCTGTCTCTCCAATCCAACTTTAACATAGATGAGAACATGCACCTAACATGAGTTTCATTGAGCTGAGAGAACTGGGAACATTAGAGCAAGTATTTTGGCTACTCTGTGTTATGTCTTCTGTTTATCTTGTTTTACTAACTCAAGCTAGTACAAGCAATATATCATTAAATCATGTTGATAAAATATTTGTAACAGCCTCAACATGTTTTTGCACCACGCAGTCTTGCGCACCTACTTTACCCCATAGTTTCAACAAGGTCTGTGGACCCAAAGTAGGATCCTAGGTCAACTTGAAATAAGTACAGTGCGCGTTAATGTTACAGAAGATGATCAAACGGTACTCTTTCCAGTCATCTGTAACTTCAGGTGCCTTTGCATCATGTTAGGTATGTTACTATCAAAGCCATCAATTATACCATCAATTCACCAATTAAAAAAAAAAAAAAAAAAAAACTTAATGTCTCATTAATAATAATAATAATCATCTTACTTTTTCTTGAGGAAATTTAAGATGACAAAATTCCAATGCAAAGTTAACATCCTAACTGGAAACATCACAAACTGGCATGGGATGTGCACGGCCCAGGACAGGAGGGCTCTGCAGCGGGTGATTAAAACTGCTTAGATCATCATTGATACCCATCTGCTGAGCACCAGTGATATCAGTGAGGTGAGGTGCCTGCACAGTACCCACCCAGCCACAGCCTGTTCACCCTGCTGCCGTCTAGCAAGCGATACAGAAGTATCCCCTGTCGTACCACCAGACTACAGAACAGCTTCTTCCCTCAGGCTGTGAGACTCAATTCATCCTCAGTGTGTAGCATAAAGGGACTACAGCTTTCATTTTGCTGTACAACCTTGTGTTGTATCAATTTGAATAAATGACCTATAAAAGTCTGTATCTCATATTATGAGATAAGCACCTTGTAATTAAGAGAAAAGATGTGATCCATCATCCATATTTGAGAAGGAAAAACCATAAAGACACTTTAGGTGTGATTTTAAAATATATATCTTGACATTTTATAATTTTGTCTACCGCGTAGTAGGTTTTGCCCTACTGTTTATACCATGGTAATATACATTTCTGGATGTATATTTACATTTAGCAGACACTTTTATCCAAAGTGACTTACATTTGAGGAATATAAGGCTATTATGGGCAGTGTTGCAAATCAATGAGCATGACTGATTTACAGTCATATCAGATGTTAACATCAATGTCAAAGTATCTTGGTATCTAAAATAAGTATATTATATATGGATATAATATAAAGAGTACGGTCTACGCTGTGAGATAACTGTTTGATTTGGCGCTATATAAATAAAATTGAATATAATAAAATCTAATATTACATGTATCATGATAGAGGATTTTACTAGGGCTCTAACAATTAACAATTTCATTGTCGATTAACCAGACAATTTCTTTTCATCATTTATTTCCCACAATCAATTTCCACAAAAATAGCTTTAAGAATTTCTCGGTCTTTAAATAAATTCCTTGTAAAATGTAATTCCTTGTTTCCGTCCAAACATATTTGATTTGCTATAATAATGACATTTTTTTTTTTTTGGGGGGGGGGGGGGGGGGTATCTTGAAAAATGACAAAAATGATTATTCAACCATAAAAATAGTAATTGAACTGATCATTTTACTCAAACAGTTACAGCTTTATTATTCATATAGCTAACCCTTAACCTGATTTAATTATTTTTTATTTTAATGCTGTATGATACGATGAAACGACCTGTATGACAATATTTTCAAGGATCAGGTTGTAAAACGAAATCAAAGTTCCCTTCATGCTACACACACAGAACTTCACTCACAATTAAATGTATACTAAAATATGGTAAGATAACACACAAAGCAATATACACAGGTGACTGATTATCAGGTTTATGCTCAGTCTCATCTGTTGTCAATACAAGCCCCACTATGGCTGCTTGCTAAATATTGATGGTCTTAACTTACCAGTTGTTGTGTGTAAACTCACTCTGATAACAGGCACAACTCAAACAGACGTCTCTCTTCTTAACTGCTCATTAACATTTTTAATACCGACATATGTGTTGTGGTGGCAGCCCAGCTGACGGTGAGTGTCCTGGTTATTTCTCCTTTTTGTTGTCTGTGATTCTCTCTCTCTCTCTCTCTCTCTCTCTCTCTCTCTCTCAGCCACACCTGCCAGCAATCAGCCTCATCTCCAATAGTACTTCTACCCCGGTTCCCCACTCCGTCGCTGCTTGATCGTCGTTGCTCCTAACCCGGTGCCCCTTGATCCCTCAAGCTATCGCGTAACCTGCATGATCTGTCTCACTGTTCTTGGTTTTTCCGGAGCCACTTATCCTGTTTGTCTGCCTGTCTCTCCCCAGGTTCACTCACCCTCGTCCTCTGTCAAGTCGGCTGGGCTCGCTCACCTGCCCTCTCCCCTCGGACTTCCCCCCCACGGCGTCCTCCCAGTTCTCCCGTGCCTCCTCTCCCTCGGCCCCCAGTGCTCCCCGGCTTCCACCTCTGCCCTCAACTTCAGTCCCTCAACCCCTTCTTTCCCCTAAATAAACCTGTTAATCCCCAGAGTTGCGTTTGGGTCCACTCTGTCCCCACACCACACCTTAACAATATGGCCTTTAAACTGGGCTAAAACATTCACAGACCCAGCTACCACCACACCTCAACTTACATAATCATTAATTATAATTAGTTAGACAGGATACGAATCTCATTTTGAGATAATGAGATTTATCTAATTATGAGACGCTGAGTGGCTAATTATTATGGGGTACGTACAGAAGGCATAATTAAGAGATGAATTTGGGCTTTAGCCTATAAATAAAATTGAATAAATCAACCTTTTTCTTTATTTTTGGTAACGTTAAGGCCTACATAGCCTACTTAGTAGCTAGTATTTATTTCTTTTAACTGTATTTTAATTTCTAATCTTTAATTTCTTTCGTAAGATGGTTTTGAAAAGTGCCCTACAAGATTTAATAAATCATCTGTTTGCTAACATTAGTTTACGTCTCCACCCTTAATTCGTCCACTTCTACCAGACATTTCTCATGGCAGTCACAGGACACAAAAACAAGAAGACTTCTGTGTTTTATGGTGGGGATGGGGATGCATGATGCAACAAATAACCTGCTCCGGAGAACGACAGCTCCGAACAAACAAAGCAACCAGACACAGCTTGTTTATAAATGCATACTGCAGACATACAATAGCTAACCTACTTCTGTCAGTGCATTAACAGTGCTCGCACTTTAATGTGGCCTTCCAGCTACCACTGCCCTTTATTCGGTTAAAAGATGGCGCTTGACAGTGTCAAGTAACTATCGAGCGTAATTTACACATTGATGAGAACAGCGTTGAGATACGGGTTTATTGCCTCGTGGGAGGTAAAAAAAACAATATCCATTTAATTCCCCAAACCCGGATTAAAAAACGGGAGGGTGCGGTTACTTTAAATGAGGGACAAGCCTTAACGTACCTCCAGTGGTGGCTGCTTGGATCCGCTCTTCTCCACTCGACTGTTGGTTCACTTCAAACGGTTAAAACGTCTTTAGTTCGGAAACTGGGTGAATTTCATATGACGTAACGTGGCACGAGGGACATGGGTCGCATAGAGACAGCCGAGGGGGGCGGGGTTTCACTGAACACTTTTCCCAGCATCCTCACCCATGATGATGGTGATGATGATGTCCACCTTTTTATATACACCTCACACGGAAAATCACCACAGCTAAATGAATAGTGTGCCACTATTTTAAAAAATGTACGGAATGATAGCCTACTAGTGGTGGGAATAATCAGAATCAGCCAAGTTGTTTTTACACAGAAAAGGAATTGTTTTTGGCGACTGGGTGCGCAACAGCAATAAACATAAATAATCATAAAGATATCTAAAAAAAAAAAATAATTAGTTTGACAGAATTTATACAAGTATTTGGATGTGCAATAGAAGAATCAGAATCAGATCTGATATGTTGTGCAAACATTAGGTGGGTGGCATGACAGTCAGAGTCAGTGGGAGACCTGGCCTTGTTGATGAGGTCAGCTGCAGAGGGGAAGAAACTGCTCATGTGGCTTGAGGTTTTTTTTTTCCTGATGGACTGCAGTCTCCTGCCTGAATAAAGCACAGGTTATGTGCTCAAATAAAATAATGAAGCACTTTACTTGCTGCCTCCATTTAATCCATCCATATACTTCAGAAGGACATTTTGTACATTTACATCAGGATTTTACATTCAAAACATATGGTTTTTAAAATATGAAAATGTTCTAGTAAACATTACATATAGTCCTTATTTCTACTGTCAGGTACTCAGTGTTTACAACTCTTAAATATTTTACATACATTTATGAAGTCGCAGACAAAAAACCAGTAGAGACCGTAGTGCTAAACAAACAATAGATTTCAGACCCTGTCTAACAACAAGCCTACTTACATGTTGATGCATTTATAAGTAGCCAAGCTGAAAGGGTAATTAAGTACTGATAAAGCTTTTGTACTTTTATGCAGGATGTTTACTTGTAATATAATCTACTTTGTTGTGTTATTGTGGCATTGCTACTTTTATTTAAATAAACCACCAAGAAAAGTTAGTAATATCTGAGAGCAAAGCATAATACAGTGAGTAAACTATAGAGGCCACTTTTGTCTATCAGTTTATTCAAGAAGTTTCAAGTTTACAGTTGATGTTTCTATTTGTTGACACATTTGAAAGTTTTACAGTATGTAAATAGTCCCAAGAATTCAAGTCCTCAAGGATCAAAGAATTTTAACATTACTAAACCTGATGCATTTTCAAAATTTAAGCCAGAGGTTTCTGGGTGTTCGTAGGTATATAGATTGTTCAATAAAAGCAGTATCCTGACAAAAGAGAAACGTCCCAAACCAAAGGCTACGTTTCAGCATAGCTTACAACTCTCATATTAAACAAAATGCCACTTTGTTGGTAGTTAAAGGAGAACTAGCGACACGATTCGGGCAAAGGCATACCGTTTAACCACTTGGTGTTAAACTCAAAAGCTCTCAGGTGATCATTGGCAGAACTGTGTTTTTGTGGTAAAAGCAGAGCGTGCTAAGAGTTGTAATAAGGTTAGCTGAGCTCTGGTAGAAAAAACAGGTGGTTGTGGACGCTTTTAGGAGCCAGAACAGAGAGCCCAGTGCCCTAATTCATTCCTGACTACAGATGATGCCACCTGCTGGCCATTGAAAATCCTGACTCTTGTGTGAGGAAAAATTATGTGAGAGTTAAAGACCTGCAATTCAGTCAATATTTGAAACCATATAAGCCACTGATTAATGAGCTATATGTTGAGGCTATAGCGGCTTCCTTACAGTAATAATGCTACATTTTCACATGAAGAAAGTTTTATTACTCTTATCATCAACACAAAGACAATATATTTTCACAGAGAAATAAAGCAAATCACACACCATGGTGGCACTGATGTAACACATCAATGTCAATCATAGGTAGTTCAAAATCAGTACAGCAGATATAATTCATACATCAGTTTTACACTAAAGATTTTTGCAATCTCAAGCAGAGAAGGGAAATAAGTGGGAAAAGTGAGGCAAGTATATAAATAAATATATCAAGACTTACATACTGTACAAGGCAAAGGCAGGTCATATGGATTTCATCCACAACTGGTAGAAATACCGTTGTCTAAAAATACTCCATTACCAGTAGGCTAAAACTCCTGAATTCAAAATGTTACTTAAGTGAAAGTATATATACACACATATTTTTCCATACTCTTTTCTTTTTCCATTCTTATCTATACCTGGAAATTACTACTTTACTATTACTTTACATACTGTGTAGGAACCCAGTTAATTATTTAATGGTTCAAGTGTGTAGTATTTAGGAGTATTACAAAGACCTTACATAATGAACCGTTATGGTTTTATTAACTTAGAATGAGCCATTTCTAGCTACATACTCTGCGGGTCCTCTTACACGGAGGTCGCCATGTTGAGCCGCCATGTTTCTACAGTAGCCCAAAAAGACAAACTGCTCTACAGAGCGCATTTGTCACTTTGTTGAATACACACGAAGAAGAAGAACAACAACAACAAGTAACATTAGTAGTGGTAGTGGTCGTTGGTTTATTAGAAGTAAGAAGAGAAAAGAAATTTGGACAAATGGAGGCCCACAAGTATTATTTAGCCTACAGTGTGTGTCGGCCAACGTAGCTTCTCCTACGCGCTGACAAAGGAAGGGGTGAACGATGACTTGAGTAGTTGAAGTCACCACTAGATGCTACTAAAACGTACACACTGAACCTTTTAACACACTCTTATGTACACCTCATTTCTATATTTTTCCATCACTTTCACTGCTAATGAAAGCGTCAGTGCAGCAGCATTAGCATGTTGCTATTCAGTAGCATCAGTATAGTACTGGTGACCACAGCTAAAAGCCCTCGCGAGCCCATCTCCAGTCCCTGCACCCCTCCGGTTTGTCTCTTCAAGTACTTTTCAGAGTAAACCATGTACAGCTCTAAGCATCTCCGGACCTTCAGCTGATTGATCAGTGCTGGGTAGCCGATCTCCACGATGCTGACTGTATCATCGTCTTCATCAACAGTAGCAGTTTTTCTGAGAACCTGTGAAGCTGGAGGCACAGGATTGGCTTCAGACTCATGCAGAGGTGCAGAGGTCAAGGAGTTTTCTGCTGCAGTGTTGTTGCTCTTTGTTGCATTGCTGCCAGTGGCTGTGGCAGCAATGGCTGTGTTAGTTACAGAAGTAGTTGTGGTTGTAGTTGTGGCAGCAGGTTTGCTGTTTGGCTGTCGGTTCCCTGCAGGCAGAAGGTCTGTCCTCTTCATGCAGGCGTCCATGTAGCCGTCATAGGTCTCAGGGAGTTGGCTGTACCTGTAGTCTCTGCTGTAGTCGTTGGTGTCGGTAGACCTCGCACCATATTTCCTGTACATGTAGTTGTTGTAGTAATACTCCTCCTGGGAATTGTGGAAGTTGAAGGGAGGACGGGGGAACCTTCCTAACCCGTAGCCCAGGGCCATTCCTACTATAGCCCCTCCACCTGCTGCCATCATCGCACTGCGCCCAAACCCTCTGGAATTATCGTTGGGACGCACGCCCATTGCATGAACTGATTGGGAAAAGGGAGAGCCGCCCCCAACACCATGGCCCCCGTAACCAAAGCTGCCACCATAGTGAGGGCTCAGGATTTGGTTGTTTGGGTTTTGGTTGATGTATCCACCTGGATAACCACCATAACTGGCATAACCACCATAACTTCCTCCGTATGGGGAGCCCCGTGCTGGGTAACCTGCAGCTGGATAACCTGGCTGCTGGGGGTAACCTCCTTGGTTAAATTGTTTAGGCTGTTTGGGGTACCCACCCTTAGACATGGGGTCCAGATTTGTTGTTTTGGGGGTCTTTTTAAAGACATTTATTTTTTTAAAAAGCCCTACTTTTTTCTTGGCCAATGCCAAACTAATATGAAGCAAAAGAAGGGAAAGACACAACACAGCTATTACAGTCAGCTTCATCCTTCCGCTGCAGAGAGAAGAACAGAAAATATAACAACATGTAGAATTTATGATTTACAATAAAAAAAAGTCATTTATTAAAGAGCCATCTTTCTGGAAACAGTCAAATTCCCAAATTCCTGATAATAGGCTAAATTACCACAACTCACAGCAACTTTCAAGTACAAGACAAGCTGGTTTTTCTTGTTCTCAGTGTACTTTTGGAGGGGATTTATCGAACTATTCACTACATTACATTATGTTCACATACATTAACAGCCATGATATGTTTTTGCACTGTTTTTGTTTTACATCATTTGCTCCACATGAAGCTGTGGGTTCAACATAGCTGCCAAGGCTTAAAATAGCACAGACCTTTCAGACTCTCAGATACTGCAGGCGACCAAATATTACTCTTTACAGTCCGGTTGGTAATTAATGTTGCGTTGTTTTCTTGAGAGAGACCAAAGAGCAGAACATATTTATTACATGACAGGAGTACCCTGAGGTTTAATGGTGGGTTGGAGGCGCACTTTGAGAACTTTACAGAAAACAACCCAGCCATGGAAAAAGAAACAACAGATCTATTAACGTTACCTTCTTTGAAAGCGAATAGTCATAAACACATAGGCTACTCTACATACTGCTGACCTTGTAATGTGTCCACAACACCGCCGTTTCTTTCTTTTGCTTCCCAAACCTTTGGTATCAGCCCCTCCTCCTTTTAGGGGTAAAAATAAACTAGTGAGAGGAATTACGGGTACTTTAAAGGAGCAGGGTCTGGCTCCCAAACCCTCTTCACTTAGTAGTACCACTTCTGCTGGTTGCATGTTTATTTGCTGCAAGAAATAAATAGGCAACATTCTTCATCTGTAATACATTGAAATATTCATCATATTCATATCCTAGTCATATTGATTTGTTAAAAGGTCGGACATGTCAATAATAACTATCCTAGCTGTAGCTATAACAAAAATAACACTCTAAACTGATCCAAGAAATCACAAATCATTACCCATCAACTAATTTAAAGCCCCAGCAAATCTAATGTTCTTCAAAGTAAACATTGTTTAAATTATTGTATTTAGGGGGTTCAACCTAATGAATATACACATTTGCACTTGGCCTTGCATTAATTGGTTTAGGCATGGATTTGTCTACAGATGGTGCCACCTGCTGGCCACGGAAAACCATACATTCAGACATCCTGAAGTGATGAGTGTTTCTGAGAACTCATAATAATCATAGACAATAAAAAGTCAAAAACAAAATCATTAAGCCAGTGTAGCAAAGCAGCTACTCATTAACTATGAGGTTTCCTTTCAGTAATACAGTTATATGTTTGTGTGTTAATACTTGTGTCACCAATACGAGCCAGTGGTGATATTTTCACTGATCAATTAGATAAATTGGATATCGCAGGCACCACAGAGAGAGAGGACACGACTGTAAAGGGTTCATGATTTTAATCATGTGAATAACTTTCATGTCATCACCCCAACGCTAATTTGCCATGGTACATTTAATGCAGGGTAAGTAGTAACTGGACAGCAGTATTTGAACTGAAGGAAACGAATCTGAAGACAGAGGAAACATCATGATGGTGTTGATGAACCAAACCAGTACTGTGGTAGTAGGAAGTAATAGTTTCCTGACAGGCAGAGTTGTCGACACAAACTATGATATTGTTGAGTGAAAAACAAACAAACCCTGTTCCAAGAGGTGACACAAGGAAGGTTATGCAGGACGAGTTGGAGCATCTGATGACAAATGCACTGTGGATGCAGAAGACTGCATCCAGTTCAATAACCGGGTAAAGACATTTACACTTTTCAGTCTCACGTGCACAGCAGAAATCTGAATCCAGTCATTCACATTAACTGCTGAGATAGTAACAGTCAAACTCAAGCACATCAACATGACACGTCTTTCTCAACAGGTCGGCGATAGGTGTTGTTAAAAAGCACCAACTGCCGTTAAGTGTTGCATACATCAGTTCATGTCTACTCAGAATATCAGGGGAAATCTTTCAAATATGGCAGCAGAGCACAAACCAGAGATGATAAAGCAAATTATTTCAATTTATTTTTTCTTTATCCCCTTTCCACCACAAGCGCAGAGGTGATTGATTTTTCATCAGTGCCAACACTGGTGATTATAAGGAAAGGATTAATTTAGATTGATACTTGGATCAAATGGGGCAGGGAAAAGGAGACATTCAACTAAAGAGGAAAATGTGCAACTGGGCACTTTAAACACACCGCGGTGAATGATCAAACCACAATGGTACAATATAGAAAATCTGTTCTTTGATGAAAAATGCAAACACAATCGCCCCTTTAACTTTAGGCACATATGTAAAACAAATACTAGAGATCTTCATAAGCAATATTTTTCCCTAATAAATATCCTTTTATTTATGGCATCCACTTCTGGGAGCTGCCCACAGATGGATAGCAATGAGGAAAAATGGTGTGGAGACAAAAACTTCAGTTACTCTTGAGCATTGTCCAACACACAAAACTGCACTTACACAGTACACATTTCTGTGGTAAACTTTCCAATAACAGCTTTCAGGGTGATATATTTATGTGCGCTTCATGAAGTAGGATAGGTGGGCGAATCAGTCAATGATATTAATTATCTCTTTTAATGCCACAATACTAAAAGTAACATTAATCTAATTTGTGGCTTCGAGATTTTAGTTTCTTCCCCATATTGATAATATATCATCACGTATTTTCTCTTTTCAGTTTACAGAAATCTTAGCATCATAGTGTTAAAACACAATACATACACTGCATCTGCAAATAAAATCTGCAATATTATGTTTCCAGTCAGTGGAAGCAGACTGCACTTTACCAGTCACCTCTGGGTTTAAGGAGTGACCTCTCTCTTAATAATATACCAGTCTTCATTTGCTCATTGCAGCAGCAAGTAACAACGCTCCGTCACCCTGTTCAGAGGCAGGGCCAGTCCAAATCTGCTAGCCCACCAACACATCACCCGACGAAGGAGGGACAGCTACTGAACCAAAAAGTTCAGCCAAGTATTTCTGAAGAGCTGATGACTTGTCTTATTATCCTGACTGAAGTATCCAAACAAAACAAAATAAAACCGCTAAGAGAGAAAAACTTTTACTTACTTTTTTCATAGCAAAATGTACGAAGCTGCTGCTGTGATGTAAGACTGAGACAGAAATTTACAGGATATTTACAAATGTACAGGAGCAGGAGGGAGACTGTCTAGACTGTAGGGAGACACCATTAAACAGACGGTCGACCAGGCTCTGTCACGGGCGGCGTGGGCGTCACGTACAGGACAGTAGGTCAAAGAAATCACACCATTAGTGGTCTGCCAGTCCAGTGAAGTTTCAGGCTGGTTTGTCCAGCTCTAACAGACAGTTACAGAGAATGGAGTGCAACAAATGTGGGTATGAAGAAGCAGCTGCTGAGATGAGGCTGAGGAGGCAGCAGACCTTTCCTGGGTGTTACCAGAAAGAGGGACGTGGAGGCAGCAGGACTCCTGGATGATCATTAACATGCCAGACAGTGCAGAACGGTGATTTCCACCCTCCCCTCATCTTTAGTCCAGATGCTCCTGCTCTGCTTTACACGCCATTGGCACTCATCTTGCTCTTCTGGGACACCTCTGTTGCTGCTTTAGCCTGTGGAAGAGGTTACAGCACTTTGTATAACTTCAATAACCAGTATTTATCAACAAAAATGTATTACACAGTCTGCAGTGGAAGTTCCTTGTTATGGATTAATTTAGGATTGCATGATACAAATTTATTTTAATGTTTATTGCATTTTGCCTTTATTTCATAGTAGAGATGTCTAAGAACTATAATTGAGAGCATACACAAACATTTTTGTAACTTTTCTTATGGAAAATTCTTTCTTTATTAGCACCAGAATAAGCATTTGCTATTCTCACATGGGTCCCTTCAACTGTTTGTTGATAATAAAACACTGACTATTAAAGAACTGTTACTTTTTTCCCCCGAAACTGTAGCAGGTTACCGGACCTTCTCTCTCGCGCAACCAAATCTTAAAATAAAAAGTGCTCCAGGTTAGGCTACTGGAAAGAGCTTTTCTTTACAAATAAAGTCAAACTGAAAATGAACTGCAGTATAACACAGCTCAGCTTTATTCTAGTGTTCATTCACAAAACTACTTGCTCACCTTGTTTTTCCCTTAAAGTCTATGTGTGGAGACACACGGCTAATTTTGGCCTTACAGGTTAAATACATAATAGTACAATAGTGTGTTACTGTCTGTGACACTGTGCTCATGATATCATGAGTTTAAATGACCGGTACAGGATCGGATATACGAGACTGATCGGCACCGTTCACGGCCAATTAAGCTGAAAACTGGCAGATTCCGGTCACCAGCTGATCAATCAGTACATCTCTATATAATAGCTCACAGCCTTTAAGTGGCAGGAATAATAGGATAGAGAGTAAAGACTGGGACAGGATGATACAAAAGTCAGCAGACAAACAGTGAACAAGCCGACACTACAGGAATCTATAATGCTGAGTTGTGATGCATCTGCACAAGTAAAAAACTGAAAACAAAGGGACAATTTAACGAGCAGCCTTAATAATAAGGTGAGTCTAGTCAACAAGAGCTGAATAATAGTGCAGTTCTCTTAGTTTGTGCTGCACTGACGGACCTCAGCGCTCCCAGATTACTGGGCTCTCTAAACTAAACATGTGATCAACAACCTTCTCTTACCAAAAAGTAAAAATCCTATGTCTGTCTATCAGCAGACGACAGAATCAAAGTCTTACTTGACAAGTTAAAACTTATTTAGTAAGACTAGACCTGTCCAGGGTGTACCCCCACCTTTCACCCGATGTCAGCTGGGACTGGATCCAGCCCCCCCGCAACCCTGTACGCAGGATAAGCAGTTGACAATGGATGGATGTAAGTAAGAATAAAATGCGTGCCCGTGTACTGGACCTCCTTAAAACAGCACCATTGAACGTATGATACACATCTTTGTTTAGAAATTAGTGTGGAATGTGTACACAAAGTGGTGAAACATCAACTTGACATTTAAACACATGTATGCAGAGACCGTGTGAGAAAGAGTGAGTGAACGAGGGAGACGACTAGCTTGTGTCGCTTTTCTAAAAACACAAACGTATGCCATCAGAATAATGTCAAAGGTGCTACGAACTCATTAAAAAAAACACAACTGACACACAGGCTTTAAAATGGGGTTTGATGTCACATAGTATCTCTGGTTGGTTTTTAAAAAAAAAAAACTCTTGGAAGAGTCACTTGGAAGCGCGCGAGACAGTGATAGGTCTATATTTAATCAGCTATTTTTAAACCTCACACAGATTAACTTGTTCCCTCGGTTCCAACTTTGACAGCAGATTTCTGTTTTTGTGATGGTTACTCTGTCAAATTTCTCAATATTACTTCCATATATCTAATAACTAAACCGATTTCCATCCAGTCTCTGTACTTTCTCTACTGTGCTCAAGCACTTTCTGTTGAGAGGAATGGCTGGTTTTCCTGAGTCCCACTGTGAGAGATTAGCCTGTCATGTGAGAAAGATCAAAGCCAGGAAGAACTAACTGGATTATAAAACCCTGTGTCATGTCAAATCCCATACAGGTCCAAGGAACAATGGGTGCTCACCTGAAGGACTTCAGCAGGAGTCAGAGGTTTGTCTGACACCACAGGTGCCTTGTCCCGTAGCTCCTCCACCTACAACACACACAAACAGAAAAATAGGACAAATATAAGATTGAGGTTTTTGCAGGACTTCATGGTTCTTCTGTACAACTTCCCCTCTAGACATGTTTTTCTTTTGTTTTTCTATGATTCATAGATCTATTTTAAACGTTGCTTTCATGGGAAAACCATGCATCTCCAAAAAGGTCAACTTTTCATGAGCTAAGGTTTTTTTTGTCCTGTGTGACCAGGCTTTTTGTTGACAATCTGATGGTTTATTTAACTTAAAGAAATTGTTTAAACATTTTGGGAACCACAATTGAGAGGTGTGATACCACCCTCATGTCTGTAGGTTAAATATAAAGCTACAGCTAGCAGCCGATTAGCATAGCTTAGCACAAAGACTGGTTGAACAGCTAAATATACAAGTGTGTGTAATATGTGTAAATGGATTACTTCCTAAAGTGGTGTGAGAAGTCAAGCCTCTTTCTAAACACCACGAAAACAAAATGTCCATTGATTTTAGAACGTTGCAATCATCTAATTCTATTTTTATTAACGGGGAGCCTATACAGTCTGTTTCAAATTACAAATACCTTGGCATGTG